CGCCGCCGTTAATATAAAACGACAAATTCCACCGAATTACGACTGGTTGTGCGCGTGAATTTATATCTAAATGGCAACCATATGATTAAATACATTTTTATTTTACTCGATTTTCTTTTCTCGACAAAATATATGTTATGAATTTTTTATGATTACTATTAGTTTTCTCTCAGTGTTTACAACCGTTCTCGACTTCCTTTCCTCCGCTCTTCGCGAACTCCACGCCTCTACCGACATCGTTTGCGTGAGCTGCCGAGATTTCGGGCCGTCACGATCGGTCCTCCGATTTTCTTCGCGATTAATTAGCGTTTCGCGCGGCGCGAATAGTCGCGCCGGGCGCCCAAAATTTCTTGCTTTTATTTTGCGACCGCCGAGTCGACGGAGGGCGATCGTGCCGAAAGTGTGCCGTGGACCAACACCATCGGTTCTCTCAATAATTTTCCCGTTTAGAAAAATAAGAAATTTCACGGTCACAATGTATATGTATATATATATATGCATATACATCATGTAATATATATATATATATATATATATATATTTATATTTATATATATTTATATTTATATATATTTATATTTATTTATATTTATTTTATAATACATCATGTAATATATATATATATATTTATATTTATATATATTTATATTTATTTATATTTATTTTATAATAAAATAAAAAGTTTAAAATGTGAAAAAATATAATTATATAAAAAGATATAATCATATAAAAATAAAAAATTGTTCAGATAAACACTTAAATACATTTAAAATTATTCAACTTACATTAACAACTATACATTATATATACGCAAATATAAAGTAGTAATTTAGTTTTAAAGACAATTGAGAGAAAATTTAATATCTTTACATATTTTTTAATCGTGTATATGTATTACAAGATTAAAAAGAAATTAAGTTTTCCCCAATTGTCTTTAAAACTAAATTATTTTATATTTGCATATACAATATGTAATTGTCAATATAAGTTGAATAATTTTAAATATTTAAATTTTCAACTTAAAAATTGTATTTTATTGTATTTTTTGTTGTTGTATGCTTTTAATTAAAGCTCTATTGTGCTTTTTCTTTGATTCCAAGCTTTGTTTTAATGCAACTTCTTTATTATTAATAATAATATTAAACATGCTGGCTTGTTGCTCTAATCGTTCTTCCAGTAATATTTTTAGGTCTATTATTTTCTGTTTCAATATTTCATTCTCTGCAGATAACTTCTCACAATTTAAACCTGTAACATATTAAAGATAATTAAATAGTTATAAATTCATATATGTATATACATTAAAACAATTGCTTTTAATTTAAAAGAATGTATACATTTTGATATAGAAGTAACATCATTTTGTTCCTTATCAATGGGCTTATCATTTTAGTCAACTTGTTGCTCATCGATGAGCATAACATCATTTTGCTCAATTTGTTGCTCATCAATAAGCATAACATCATTTTGTTCAACTTGTTGCTCATTAATAAACATGACATTATTTTGGTTAACTTCTTCATTAATGGGCTTATCATTTTTGTTCATCATTGAGTATGACATTACTTTGCTTATGTTAGCTTCTTCTTCATCAATGAGCTTATCATTTTGTTCTTCATTAATGTGTGTGTGTGAGGATGTGTCATTTTTATTATCTGTGATAAATACATTTTTTTTTATACTGTTCATTATGTAATATACAGGGTGTCAGGGAATTTTTGACCTTCACGAAGAAAGGTAAAAAATAATGAGTAAAAAATATTCATACTTAAAATAATGTTACTTACTTTGTTGATTTTATTTCCTTTATCTTGTAGCATTTAGTTTATGTTTTTATGAACATATTGTGTTGGAAATACATCAGATTTCAGAAACTTTCTATTTACATGCTTTGTATGAATAAAATAATTATTATTTGTGAAATGTAAACTGCATACTCGTACATTCGAATCCAAACCATCAATTCCAGTGGCTATAAATCCAATATTTAAAACAATTTTCATTTTTAGATGGAAATCTAAAATTATATTATTAGAATATATATCCACTTTTGAGAGTGCATTATAAAAAAGATTATATATAACCAGAAGAATTATACATTTGCATTGTTATTGTAAAGTTTAAACTATAAAACTTTGATTGACTTATATAATAAAACTTCATTAATTATAGATAAATAATTATAATAGATTACATTTACCTATGAAATGTTATCTTGGAATGTTTTTTCCATAGACTTTTTTTTACACCCTTTAACGCTACATGCTATAGGCATATTTGAACTAAATATTTAAATCAAGACACCAAGAATTATTATTATTATACACCAACAAACGATATCCACAGTTTGTGTCTTGCACTAACAATAAATTGACGCAAAAAGTAAAATGAAAATTTTATATATTTACATCACTCAAACTAGCGACAGATGTCCGCCATATTAATTTTCCACCAACGTTACGCATGCGCGGCCGCCATATTATATGGTTTTCGGGGACACTTTTTATGTACAAAATCAATGGAAGTTAGCGATCTAGTTATAGTATAGATATCTGTGTCCATGGACGTAAGAAATACTGGACAGAGTGTATTGCTGCGGGGGTGAAGCTCAAAGGGTGAGGGGAAAGAAATGTCTACTGCAACGGAATATGAGGCATGTAAGATGTCTATGGTAAGATGACGACGGATATTAATTTCACGGAGTGTGATATTTTTGAATTTCTTAATATTTAAAAATGATTCGGAATAACACAGCGATTTCAGATGATAGATGATTTCACGGAATCTCTCATATTTTATTCGATTTACGTCCGTGCGACGTGAAAATAGACGCTAAATCTGATGCATCTAAGATGGCCGCGACAATAAACCCCCTTACCCCTCAGATTTCACTCCCCTCGTCTAAAAGAGTACTTTATGCTCTGTCCAGTATTTCTTACGTCCATGTCTGTGTCCCAGTGGGAGAAACGAAACGCAGCACTGGGAGTTTTCAATACTGCCAACTTTATCTTTTTTCCCAACACCAACCAAACATATTTTCGAACGCACTAAAATGCGGCCAATTTCGCGCGAAAAGTGCTTCACTCGTTTTGCTCCAATCGGAGCCAATCAAATCGAAGAGGAAAGAGAATAGCAATGTCCTTCGACTCGATACTGGAAAATGGCGATCTGCGAGGTTGTTTGAAGCTTAATTTCGATAAACACACTCACGGACTCGCAACTCGTTGGTTAAATGTGCCCTGAAAATCATGTGACCTGGACTGTGTGCGATGGCGAGCAAAGAGATAATCGGCCATCAGCAGCAGTTCGTTGAGGAAATCGATTATAATGAAATCAAAACTGAGCAGGTAGTTCTTCCAATGTATTCGTATTTTCTTTAATCATCGTGATAAACTTCAGAAAACGTTTCTTTCTTGAAATGCTTCAATAACAGGCCGATCGTTGATTCTTGCGATTGAATTTCGTTTCGTATTTCTATCATTTTCACGCTATAATCGACTTATTAAATAGATAACCTCAAACCAGAGAGCGACTGTATTCTTGTACGAGGAAGTGCACTCTTGGAAGAAGCGCATTTTGCTAAATGATAGTTGCTTGTAACGCGCAAACCTGTTGATCTAATATATTAATTGAGATTTATTCTCAAATTATATTCGACCATAGGTAGTAGGCAAAGGTTCCTTTGGAGTCGTCTGGAAAGGACGGTGGAGAGGACAAGATGTCGCTGTGAAACACATAAATTCGGAAGGAGAAAGAAAAGCCTTCACCGTGGAAGTTCGACAACTATCCAGAGTTGCCCATCCCAATATTGTTAAACTGTACGGTGCGTGTACCAAAAATCCAGTATGCTTGGTTATGGAGTATGCAGAAGGTGGATCATTGTATAATGGTAATATTATAATTAAGAAATCTACCGATTATTTGCCTTCAATTATAACACACGTTAATTCTACAAAAATTTCCATTTATGCTTACAGTACTGCATTGTAATCCGCAACCGCATTATACTACTAGTCATGCTATGAGTTGGACTCTTCAGTGTGCACGCGGAGTTGCGTATCTTCATAATATGAAACCAAAACCATTGATACACAGGTAAAGAAAATTATGTTTTGAAACTCCTGATAGTGTGTCTGTTGAGAACTAGAGAAAACTTGACAAATTTTATTTCACAGAGATCTAAAGCCACCTAATCTGTTATTAATTATGGGTGGACAGATGCTTAAGATCTGTGATTTTGGCACAGCCTGTGATTTACACACATACATGACTAATAATAAAGGGTCAGCCGCATGGATGGCACCAGAAGTATTTGAAGGATCTAAATATACGGAGAAGTGTGATGTATTTAGTTGGGGTATTATTTTGTGGGAAGTTTTAGCACGTCAAAAGCCCTTTGATGACCTTGCGCCATTGGGCGTTTCAGCCTTTAGGATAATGTGGGCTGTTCATGTAGGACAAAGGCCTCCTTTAATAGAAGGATGCCCGAAACCAATCGAAGATCTTATGACCAGGTGAGAATTTCTATTGAGGAAACAGCACAGTTAATATCTTATTTTATAAGATTTTTATGAAATCAAAATTTATATGGAAATATTTCTACATAAAACAGGCAGATCTTTAATGCTCAAATATAAATTATTTGTTTAAAAATGATAAATAGTATAAAAAAATATACAATTGTGTAATATATAGTAGATAAGATCTATTTCTCCATGTCTATATAACTATGTTATATAGACTATGTATTCTATATTTTTCAAGATGTTGGCAGAAAATACCTGAGGAAAGACCTTCCATGGACGAGGTAGTAAGGATAATGACCAAGCTATCAGAATTTTTCAATCCCCATTTAGAACCTATTGAATATTCTTTAAGTATGTTTATAATACATAATTTAATTTTTTAAATATATTATATATATATATATATATATATATATATATATATATATATATACAGGGTGTCCCAGTTATCTTTCATCATCTTTCAAAGACAGATTCCTGGGATCATTTGAAGACTATTTTTCCTCAATGAAAATGTCGAGGCACTAATAATTTTCGAATTATAAGTGATTGGAAATAAGGGGTTTTTCGTAAACTAAACTTTGTAGAAATAAAATATTAACAAAATCACATTCTTCGATTAATTTTAAATAGAGTTTACTTTAATTGAGTTTTAATTTAAGACTTAATTGCAAAAATATATGATGATAAAAATCGGGAACATGCAAAAAATGATAGCCTTCATTGACATTTTCGCTGAGGAAAAAGCATCTTCAAATGATCCCAGAAATCTATCTTTGAAAGATAACGGAAGATAACTGGGATACCCTGTGTATGTGTGTGTGTGTGTGTGTGTGTGTGTGTGTGTGTGTGTGTGTGTGTGTGTGTGTGTGTGTGTGTGTGTGTGTGTGTGTGTGTGTGTGTGTGTGTGTGTGTGTGTGTGTGTGTGTGTGTGTGTGTGTGTGTGTGTGTGTGTGTGTGAACATTATTATAAACACAAATATGGAATATATATTATATCTGCTCAAATAATATTATTGCACAAATATATACATACATAAATATATTGTATTACAGGTAGCGAAGCTGATAATATAGATGAGAATGATGCATCGAGGGAAGATACATTAGATATAGCCAGTACATTAGATTCTGGGATGAATGGTTCCGTTGCAAACGGTACTATTTGTACAATTCCAAAGCCCTTAGAAAAAGCTAACAAATGCTCTAATATAGAGAAATCATTGCCTTTTGAATTATATCACGCAACGCCATTCGGCGACATGCCGAAAAGTTTCTCGCCACGACCAAATAATTTAGAGTTTCGACGAGTGCCTGACGAGTGTCCGATATCGAATAATCATTTTCCTGGGAATGTGGATAGTAATTTAGAACACGCCAAATCGTCGATCTCGCAAAATGCAGCAATACCGACGGCATACGATGACAAGTTCGCCGCGCTACAACGCACAAATTGCAATTTTGCTCCGTTACATGTGGAGTGCGATCCGGTTGGTAATTTCATTGAGTACGAGTTTTAATAATCTTATTTTTCTATTATTTTCATTTGTATATTTCTTCTTTTCGTAATTTTTTTCTATGTAATAATATCTTCCTTTTGATTATTTTTTATTTATATTTTTAAATCGATGTATTATACACACACACACACACACACACACACACACGCACGCACGTAGATAAATTGAAAAGTTTCCTGACCAACAAAGAACAGTTTGTATATCATAATTCTATAACAATTCGATAAATAGCTGTCAAACATCTACTTAAATAAAATTTTTAGATTCTCACATTTTCTCACACACGTTCTCACATTTAGTTTTTTTGTACTAGTCTTTCAAATTGACTTTCAATTGATCAATTTATTATTTATTATTATTATTGCAATTTATCGACAGTAGAGGAAAAATCGCATAATTGCGTAATTTATGAATTTTGTTTCCTCATCCAGTATTTTCCAAATTTAGCCTCAAGTGACTTTTTTCTCTTCACAAATTTGAAAAAATAGCCATCTGGAATTCTGCTTTAGTCAATTCTGTAAATTCCTATTTGGAAAATCTTATTTCACCGAAGGCATGAAAAATCCAGAAAAATATTAGAATAAATGTATTCAAAGAAGACTATGTTGAGAAATAAATCTCATTTTGCCCCAAGAAATGTTATTTTCTTAATCGGAAACTTTTCAATTTCTCCTCGTACATATTGAAATACACACACACACACACACACACACACACACACACACACACACACACACACACACACACATACAGGGTGTCCTAACCACCCATACACTTTTCTACACCCTTTTCTTTCAAAAACTAAGCATTTTAGAGAAAAACGTTTTCGACAAAAATTGTATGGTTTTGAGGGGAACATAAGATGGTGTCATTGGTTTGACCTTGGATGGCATCGTTAAGGTCAGGTCAAGGACACCTTTAATTTCTTAAATGGAACCACCTATTTTTCATTGCATATTCTTGTAGTTTACCTCGAGAGCTTTCCAAAACACTATAATAAATTATTTTTCCATGAAGTACTTTTCGAATTATGAGGCTTGAAGTCATTTCTTAATTTTACATAAACCATAAAATATCTTGTAAAATAGTCATTTTTCGATTATCTTACCTTAATATTTTTATGTACAAAATAATGAGAGGAATCAATTGGTGTAAAGAAAACACACAGTTATTTCGAAGAAAAAATATGTAATTTGTAATTAACAATTAAATATTTTTTCTTAAAAGTAACTATGTGTTTTCTTTATATCAATTGATTCTTCTCATTATTTTGTACATAAAAGTATTAAGGTAAGATAATCGAAAAATGAATATTTTATAAGATATTTTATGATTTATGTAAAATTAAGAAGTGATTTCAAGCCTTATAACTCGAAAAGTACTTGATGAAAAAATACTTTATTATAGTGTTTTGGAAAGCTGTCGACATAAGCTATAAGAATATGCAATAAAAAATAGGTGGTTCCATTTAAGAAATTAAAGGTGTCCTTGACCTGACCTTAACGATGCCATCCAAGGTCAAACCAATGACACCATCTTATGTTTCCCTCAAAACCATACAATTTTTGTCCAAAACGTTTTTCTCTAAAATGCTTAGTTTTTGAAAGAAAAGGGGCGTATGGGTGGTCTAGGACACCCTGTATATACACATATACGTGTATATATATATATATATATATATATATTCGGAATATATATATATATATATATATATATTCCGAAATATTTGCCTGGGGAAATTAAAATAAGACATCCTGTATATGTATGTATGTATGTATGTGTGTATCTATATATATATATATATATATATATATATATATATATATATATATACACAACTTTTGTCTGAAACATTTTTTCGATTTTTCATCATTTTCCGAAATATTTGCCTGGGAAAATTAAAATGAGACATCCTGTATATTTCTGTTAAAGATATAATACATATATTTCTATTAAAGACAATTTATACATTATTGCATTTTTTGCAGCACTCTTGGGATTTACCGAGCTCTTCTGAAACATCTTGGGAAATTCCAAATAATATGGCCGGATTAGATAAAGTGGTACAGAAAACGAAGAAAAATATTCAAAGTAAGTGTGATGTAAATTTGACTTGTTAGAAAGTGAACACATAAATATTATTTTTACATAATGTCGATTTATCAATTGATATTGAAATAATTTTTAATTCTTAATTCTAATTTATATATCACATATGTATAATCTTTTCTAATTTATATATCACATATGTATAATCTTTTTGATAAACTTTTAAATTTTAGATGACATAAAGTATAGCTTTGATTTTAATTGATTGATATTGTATAATGCATACAAATATGGTATTGTTTCGATTTAATCGCGAATGAGTAGAGTTTTGCGCGACATGTACTCGCGAATACGTACCCGAGCCCTTCTCAGAATAGGTGCCGGAAAAAGATCACAAGGGGCTACGGCACCAAACTGGCTGTCTATGTGAGACTTGTCTCTTGTCGCGTTGAGAAGGCATATTGCCAAAAACATTATAGACATTAGCAAGAATTATCTAGGCTTTATAAGGCGATCAATGTATGATTTATAACTACGATGTTAAAGTTGTTCCACGAATCATGTCTATTTCTGACAAAGGAAATTAAAATATCATCGAATCATGTCTATTTTTGACAAAGGAAATTAAAATATCGAGAAAGATAGAAGATTTTTTATATTTACATAATGATGTTATACATCTAACATTTACAAATATGACATAGATATTTGATTCGCAATAGAACTGACCGATATAGGATAAGAAAGAAAAATTCTGATAACTTTTTCGATATAATTTACGAAAACATCGAAAGAGAGTGTCCTAAAAAGGTGTCCTTAAAAAAGATTTGAGAGACCCTAAAAGTATGTGACTAATACGCGGAATAACGCGGGACGTTTTAATGGCATACAATGCCTCAACGTGAGCATGCGTTTTGAGCTTACGGAGTAGCGCTTTGTGGTACACGAAGTAGATTATTTTCGGCCTAGAATACTAAGCACTGTGGCTGAGTCACCGGGCGCCTTCTTCGACTCTGGGCGTCTCCCTCTCCTGCTCTGACTAACACGCATAATGCGTTTATGCGTGTATGCGATTTGTCATAATTATTATGCACGCGCAATAATTATCCCGTTTATGGAATATTGCTAAATCAGGATTCGTTAGCAGTGATTAAATATTTTTCTTTTCCGATAATTTACATCTATTTGTAATTGTATGTAAATTGCAATTTTGAAAAAGCTTATAGATGTATATGTATGTCCACGTAAATATTATAACGTTATACAGGGTGTCCCAGTTATCTTCCGTCATCTTTCAAAGACAGATTCCTGGGATCACCTGAAGACGATTTTTCCTCAACGAAAATGTCGAGGCACTAATAATTTTCGAATTATAAGTGATTGGAAATAAGGGGTTTTTCGTAAACTAAGCTTTGCAGAAATAAAATATTAGCAAAACCACATTCTTCGATTAATTTTAAATAGAGTTTACTTTAGTTGAGTTTTAATTTAAGACTTAATTGCAAAGATATATGATGACAAAAAACGGGAACATGCAAAAAATGATGGCCTTCATTGACATTTTCGCTGAGGAAAAATCGTCTTCAAATGATCCCAGGAATCTGTCTTTGAAAGATGACGGAAGATAACTGGGACACCCTATATATAAGAATCAAAAGTACTTTCTCGCGTGAAATGATATGTTAGTGTCAGTGTTTGCTGTAGATAATTTCAAAATTATCTAGATAAAGATAAAAATCCGTAAATTTATCTTAGATGAGATAAAGATGATTTTGCTTTTACTTAATCTAGATGAAAGATGAGATAATTATTGCGATAATCTAGATAATTATCTAGATATTTTTGTTTATTTTAGAAGACTATAAATATTTGTAAAAAATATGACGCAGATTATTAATGGGATGTTAAAATCATAAACACATATTCTTTCTCTTTTCCTAAAGAATATTTAAATAATAGTAAAAAGATATATAAATGATATGATAAATATTTATTTATTAATTTATATTTATAATATATTTATAATATATTTATAAAATATTAATAATATAATAATAATATATTTATAATATATTAATAATAATAATATAAAAAATATATTTTATATATTTCAGATAGATTTTTAGAAGCTTGCCTGGAAAACTTTTTTGCATAATGAAAACGTCATCTTAGACGATTTTTAGATAAGATGACATATATTTTTCATCTAAGATAAAGATAAAGATACTTTGTATTTCTGCATCTAGTTAAAGATAAAGATGATCCATTTCTTTATCTAGATGATTATCTAGATAATTTTATCTAGATACCAGCAAACACTGATTAGCGTACAGATAAATTGATAGTGATCAATCGAAAGAGCGGTAAGAAAGAAACGAGCTCGACATACTATATTCATCGAGAGTTCGTCGATCGACGAAGTTTGCCGGTGTATCCTGGCAAAGGGCCCGTGTAACCGCAATAGCGAGTGTCGCGTGCACTAAATTTAACTGACGACTAATCGGTAGGACGTGTGACTCGCTTTTGATTGGCACGTTGCGACGACGACGACGAAGAGGACGAGCGAGGAGCAGCAGAGGCGATTGTGGAAATAGCGGAAGAACGTTAGGAGGGGAGAGAAAGAGAGAGAGGCTGAAAAGAGGCAAAAGCAATATGAGGAGCAAAGGGAGGAGGGAGATGAAAGAGAAGAAGAAGAGACGACAAGAGGAGTAAGAAGAAAAAAAAAAGAGAAGCAGACGTGAGATTCTCTCGAGGATGAATCAAGCCGCGGAGCGCGTTTTGTTCTTGGCTCCGTGTATACGAGCTCTGCGGTGTTCCTCGTCAAAGAGCCAGGGTGGGGGATATTTAGAAGCAGGTGTGGTTGAGTCAGCATCCCCAATATAGACGTGCGTTTGTTTAGTAGAGAGCCGACTCCCTACGGACGAGCACGTCCCGTCGATCGCGCGGGTTCGCTAAGCGCGCAATACGATCTCGATTTTATCGAGGACATATCCGATCGATCCGACCGGGAATTGATCCCACTTGACACGGTCATTCCCGGATCATTCCATTGAAATAAAACGTTATAGAAAGCGATATCAACCGTGATAACAACCCACCTCTCGCAATCATCACGTTGAGATTCCTGATATCGCTATCGTAGCCAACAAGACTCACCATCTCCGAGGATCCTTATCTTATCTCCCTAGAAAGCCAATCTCCCTGATTCACGAAAACGAAGGAATTATGCTGATGGGATCGGAGGATAATCGTGGACGTTAAAACGTCGTCGGTGTAACTGCAACTCGCGCCAGAGAGTGGCAGTTACTTAGGAAGATCGACATGTGCGACGACTATCCGGAAATCGTCGGCACCGACACTCTCAAGCGCTGCTGGGTCCTACTGCGTTAGTATACATTAGATTCTCCGCGCAAAGTCGCTTGCTTAATATTGCTTGTATTTCAAGTCATAGGGAAATCTCTGTATAAGATTAGTAAGAGTAGGCGGTAAAATAAGCGCGCGGTAGTTTGATCAGATGCCACAGTTCTCGAGATTTCATGGACACGCAATAAAAATACATAATTTATGTATAATATTATGAAAGAGATAAGTTGCCTAAGCTTCCAAATTTAAGATTTCAATATCACTGATGAAAATAATGTTATTTTCGATCCGTAATAAATTCTACGTATTGCGATGCCGTAGGTAGCAGCACTACGAGCGAAGATTTGGGTAACGTCTGTCGCCTGTTGGACGCCGACCTGAGACCTCTTACGCCCGATGACACGTGCAAACGTTCGCGAGAGATCTTCGAGGAGCACAAGCAGATAGCGCAGGAGTATCTCAAGGTGCAAACGGAGATAGCGTTGTTGAGCCAGCACAAGAACGAGATGTTGAAGAATTTGAGTCTCGACAGTCTTAGACAACAGCAGGAGTTGCGAGAGCTCGAAGATGAAAAGGTTTTCCTCTTTTTATTCCGTATATTAACTTAGATTCCCACAGATGAGATTCTCATCGATAGCATTACCTTTCTTCAAGAAAGGCCTTTCTCAAGAAAAGCCTCAAGGAGAATTCTTCAAGAATTCTCCTTGAGTCATCAATCCCGAGAATTATTACGATTAAAATTTTCAGGAGTCATTGCTGAAACTATGTTACAACCTACAGCGGCAATTGGAGATCATGAAGGATCAGAGGATCAAGGGAGCGTTGACGAATGCCGCCGCTGCCGCCGCCGCTGCTGCCGCTGCCGCGCCAACGATAGGACCCGCCGTTTCCGGAAACAACGGTTGGGTGGTGGTACCGCGTCCAGACCCGTCGAGGCTCTCCTGAGGTTTCACGTGTATCCAAGGGTCTCGACAAGAATGTACTTACATGTCATGTTCTGCGATCGGCCGGCAATGCGTGACACGAATGGAATCATACACATTGTAATTCCAATTCAATCTTACGCGAATACAAATCGCGTCGCTTACTACCGATAAAGTCATGGCTACGCGAATCTGTATGATTATCTAGCGAAAAGCGATCTGACTTTGTCACTGGACTGGGTATCCAGACACGACGAATGGAGACTGTGTAATTGACTTCCGATCTTGCATGGTACATCTGAAGGCGTGGTATCAGATACACATTTATAATATTCAGGTACGGCTTTCATTAGATTTTTGTTACAGAATTTCACACTCACATCTTTTTTTTTTTGTCATCTTGCCAATGCGCGTTCCCCTCGCGATGCGAGATTGATTAATACGACAGCAGGGTTTTTCAGCATAGGGTTTTCCTATAACTGGTAACAATATCTTTGAAAATGTGTAATGGAAGATTATTCTCGATTTCGAAAGTTTTGGAAATATCTTTGATAATAAACCTTGCAATCTAGTCGCTTTGACAATAATATAATTTGTCAAACTCTTTGTTTATATTTGACGTATAAAGAATGCTATATAATTTTTATTAAAATTTTTATTCAAACTATCATATTGCCTATCGGTCGAAAGCGTTTTATGCATTTTCTCGATTTGATATAATAAAACGTATTGAATGCACAAAAAGAATATTGCAAATCGAACAATGATCAATGAATATGGATGCGCAATCATTTAGATTATATTTCAATTTTATTTCTATATATGATATATGTGGTACATATATATTCGATTGAATTGATCGTGTATCAGAGATATAATCTGTATACGACTATGGAGTTATTACTTTTAGCCAATCGTGTTGCAAGAAACGGATTAAAATTCGTTTTTCTTATCGCTTTGTGCGACTTTTTTTCTATTTTTTTTTCTTGTGAATAACTGCTTTATATTTCATTGAAATGCGAGATTAACATTTTTCGCAACAATTACAGATCAAACGAATTGTGAAGATAAAGACGCTGTTTAAATCGTAGTAAATTAACGTGCAGGAGTGTTTCTGTTTTTATCGAATCAAATAAAGGACTGTCTGTAATGCGAGACAAATATCAAGACAAATTGTTACATGTATATATAAAAAAAACCAAAATAGAGCGCAAGAAAAAAATGTCGATAAAAAAATTCTCGCGCATCAAAATCCCAGTTCAAAAAAAATCTTGGACTTTTGTTGTTTTCCGCGTCCCAAAATATATATATTCCTATATTTTAAATATAAAGTCTCTCAGAATTCCCATCATTTCACGACTAAAAAGGGAGATGAAGATGTACAACAAAGTAATTACATTCAGACAATTTTTTCAACGAGTTCCTTCCCGAGAATCTGTAAATTGTTACCTGAGCTTTATGTGAATACACAATATGTATATGTACAAATGTAAATATAATTTTAAAAGATTGCAAAAGATTCAGTCTTTTTAACGCTTTTAAAATCTTTTACGACATCTGTAGAGAATCCATAAGGGGAATAAATAATAATTCCTTCATAAGGGGAAGTGACAAAATTTGCGTTAATAGATTTATAGATGTGTTAGTAAGGAGTAATTTAGTAAGTAAATTTATATGCGTTATTTTAGTTATACAGGGTGTATCCTAAAAAGTGGGAAGTATTGCAATGGTGGATTCAGGATACAAAAATAAGAGAAAAAGTTCATATAAACATATGTCCGATATGATCTTGTTTTCAAGTTATAGCTTCTTTTATTTCTCAACAGAAATTAAAATAGTTAAGGTAACAGAAAGTGCTCAAAATGACTACCTCTGACTTGAATACAAGCTTCAATCATGTCTCATGAACACGTCTCATCATAGATTGTCTGACTTTTTCAAAAATTCGGATATTGCTCGAATTTCCCGGCAACCACGAAGTATCTCGACGTTGTCAATGGATGTTTTGCATAATTCTTTGTATGAATTTTTTCTCTTATTTTTATGTCCACCATTGCAATACTTTTCACTTTTTAGGGCATTCGATATTTTCATTCCTCTAATTTTGTGGGCATTGAAACTGTTAGATTATTAAACTATTAGAAACCGGTCTCTATTTTAATAATCCGTGTATCGAATTCGCTTGTTTATAATCAGATTATCAGGAGATGATTAGATTAGCGCGTAATATATGCGGATGTACAAAGCTTATACGCTAGCCAATATTATACATGCTGTGCGTATTGTAACGATCTGATATGAAAATATGCGAGCGCGACTTATGCAGCTCACGCAACGAAAGAACACGCAGAATAGAGTCGGTAAACAAGGATGAACTCCATCAATGGAATCAATAAACTCGTCCTAGTCGTATTGCACTCCGATGGAACGAGAAATAGAAAGGAAATAGGACGCGGCCGATCAACCGGGGAAACAAGAGGGGAAGGGTTGGGTTATCAGGGTGGGAGGAGATAGTGAATGAGAGAAGAGGGGTGGGAAGAAGGGACGGGGGTATGAATAGAGGGTGCGGATACGTGGGCGTGTATGTTGGTTAAACAATATAATTTATTTCCAAGAAGAAGGAAAATAGAATGATAAAAGAGAGAATGAAATAAAATTATGAAGCATGATTCGATGACAATGATAGGGAGACAAAAGCGAATAGATAAAATTGGGAAAACGGGGGAAAATATGCGCGCGTGCGTGGGCGTTCGAGGGAGAACGGAGGGAGAGAATAAGGGAGGCAGCGAGAGAGAGAGAGAGAGAGAGAGATGCGCACGCCGCGGGGAGAGACGCGAGGCGGGAAACTGAAGAAGGGGTAGAGAAGATAGGCCGGAACTCTTTAGACGTCCACGGACCTGCCCGCGAGCCTCGTTCCTTCCCTTTAAGTTTCTCGCACGTTTTTTTCGCGCTATCATTTCTCCCGTTAGTTAGAATCACCTTCTCCGCACGGAGGATCGTTTCTAGGATGGCCCACCCTGCGTCCGACGATGTCAACGAGAAGAGCTACATCCTGGACGCGAGGAAGAACTTCGAGGACGTGAGTAAAGTAATTAAGAAGCGTCTATCTTGCCTTGTGTCCGGATGCGGTCTGCCACGTCGACCGACCCCGGCGTTTCCGGTTTCCTTCCACTTCCGCGAAATTATCTCGCGGTGCACGCAAAACGACGGATCATTAAACGAGACGCGGGGAGAAATGAATTTCAGTGTCGTATTCTTTCTGAGAGTCTCGGATTCGATTTCCCGGTAGAACCGAAAAATTATATACGCTCATTTCTCGGAAGGCAGAATCCTGCCATGAAAATCTCTAATTAGAGCCGTTCGGAATCGGTATTAAACTGTACCTATATACAGGGTGTCCCAAAACTCATAATCAATCTTTCAAAGACAGATTCCTGGGATCATCTGAAGACGATTTTTCCTCAACGAAAATGTCGAGGCACTAATAATTTTCGAATTATAAGTGATTGAAAATAAGGGGTTTTTCGTAAGCTAAGCTTTGCGGAAATAAAATATTAACAAAAACCATATTCTTCGATTAATTTTAAATAGAGTTTACTTTAGTTGAATTTTAATTTAAGGCTTAATTGCAAAGATATGTGATGACAAAAATCGGGAACATGCAAAAAATGATGGCCTTTATCGACATTTTCGCTGAGGAAAAATCGTCGCCAAATGATCCCAGGAATCTGTCTTTGACAGATTGATTATGTGTTTTGGGACACCCTGTATATGTGTGATAATCTGGTGCGCAACACAGGTATACGAAAGAGAGAGATCACCACGTTCGAAATCGAACAAAAGGACTGATACGATTCTTCCTGACGTCTCTGTCTTTTTCCCGAGCTTCGACAAGCAGTTTACGTTTGACAGGTAGCCCAGACAGCACACATGTCCAAAAGACGACTTGAAGACGTCTTAAATTCTTTAAGCCTAAGACATCTTTTGGCCTTTTTGTGCTGTTTAGGAGGTTTCTCGGATACTCTATTGGATAAACATCGATTACTGAGTCCTATCGTGCGACCCTTTCGCGTATTTACTTTAACGAAAGTTTTAATCCTGCATTTTTTTAATGTAAAAAAAGTTGCGACGAGAAAGTTACACGGCTTTCTCTACTTTGTTGATTCCAATTTCATCGCGATTACAAGCGCGGAGATGTATTTACTGTTTCGCAATTCGTCAGATTTTCATACCAATCGTGCGAGCTGAACAAAAAAGACCAAAACTATAATTATAGGTCTTCTTGCGCGAATGGATTTGATGTTTTCGAGAGATTGCTATTTTAATTGAAGTTTTTGTTGGCGCCTCGAGATAGAGAAAAGAAAAACAGAGACAGGAGATTCAATTTACCGTGAGAAATTTCCGCAATGACATTTCGTTCAATATGCTCATTTCAACCGTGATTATCTCCGCAAGCTTCTTTGACATTCTCTCTCTTGTAAATAGAGTTATCAGTCTATGAAACTAGCTGTCAGTGTAATAAGGATGAATGCACGCAGGCTACACCGAGATACACCGATAAACTGGACGAGCGAAATTAAAAATAGGGGATACGCGTGTTTTAAATTGTTGAGAAAAGAATCGAATATACAGGGTGGGCCATTTTAAGTGATCCACTCCAATAACTTTTTTATATTTGAATGTACAACAAAATGTTTCAAATAAAAGTTGCTTGACTTCGAGAGGGACAGAAGATGGGTGGCAAAAATTTGACCTTGGATAGTCATTTGAGGGTCACATAAAGGTTACTTTCAATTTCTTAAATGGAACCCCCTATTTTTCATTGCATATTCTTGTAGCTTATCTCGAGAGCTTTCCAAAACACTATAATTAAGTACCTTTTCATTAAGTACTTTTTGAGTTATAAGGCTTGAAATAATTTCTTAATTTTACATAAACCATAAAATATCTAGTAAACCATTCATTTTTCGATTGTCTTACCTTCATACTTTTATATACAAAATAATGAAAGGAATCAATTGGTGTAAAGAAAACATACAGTTGTTTTTAAGAAAAAATATGGAATTGTTAATTGCAAATTACATATTTTTTCTTAAAAACAACTATGTGTTTTCTTTACACCAATTGATTCCTCTCATTATTTTGTACATAAAAGTATGAAGGTAAAATAATCGAAAAATGAATGGTTTACTAGATATTTTATGGTTTATGTAAAATTAAGAAATTATTTCAAGCCTTATAACTCAAAAAGTACTTAATGAAAAGGTACTTAATTATAGTGTTTTGGAAAGCTCTCGAGATAAGCTACAAGAATATGCAATGAAAAATAGGGGGTTCCATTTAAGAAATTGAAAGTAACCTTTATGTGACCCTCAAATGACTATCCAAGGTCAAATTTTTGCCACCCATCTTCTGTCCCTCTCGAAGTCAAGCAACTTTTATTTGAAACATTTTGTTGTACATTCAAATATAAAAAAGTTATTGGAGTGGATCACTTAAAATAGCCCACCCTGTATATTTCACATTTTAATAATATTATCAGCTGACCCTTTCGAAAATTCTCTTTGGCAGGGCGGCAGCCTCGCATCGGAGGAATCCTACGATGACATGAGGCGATTAGTCGGGGTAAGAACTTACATATTTCACATTCCACTTTTTCACCTCATTTCATCGCGCTAAAAAACGATTAATTAAAAGCCTTGTCCTCAGTCTACAATTCGTTCTACAACTCGCTAAGCTCCGTTCGTTTCATCCGTGGCCGACTCGTGCGATACAGCCGAGATTAAAAGTTGTGCAACAGAAATTTCCACAATTGACGTGCCGATGGTCAACCGGCGAGCGATGCACTTTCGATATTCGTCAATTGGCCTATTACAAAAGAGCACGACTTGGCATGTGCGCTATCATCTTCGTTTTTTTATCGCCCCTTAACACTACGGTATCGCTCTAAATTATTCCACTGGCTACCGGAATTATTTAGCTCGTGCCTACAAAAGAGAGAGAGAGAGAGAGAGAGAGTGCTAATTTACAACACCCGCGACACTTTACATATATAGCGTCACTTCTCTCGAAATGCCTTTTCGCACTCGTGCCATTAATATTCATCAGCAACGAAATATATGAACGTTCTCGCGGAATATTCACGAGCGCGCGTGAATATGCGATATGTTTTACTTAATTAACGTTACGCCATATATTCGCATATATATGGGCAGTATCCTCGCGCTTGTTAAACGGGCACTATGGTAATGTCAGCACGTGTTTACGCAGGAGGAAGAGGAAGAGGAATCCGGGAAATTTAGTAGCCTGCCACTCGCGAGCTTCAACTTCATCAATTCCATCATCGGCAGCGGCGTGATCGGTAATTCAGAATCAAAACTACGCAATGTATAGAAAATTTGGAAATTCATGATTTCGAAAGATATAAGGATAGAAAAAGAAACAAAGACACGTTTATCTGGCAGGAGAATTTATGTTGCTTTACCCATAAAGCACAGAAGCTTGCTGCAACGTTACAATATTGCTCACTGCAGTGTAATGTTGCAACAATAATGCAGAAACATTATTTTGTAATATTACTTTGGCAATGTTGCAGCAACGTTTTAACATAGCGAAAATGTATAACATGTGTTTCTTTACTTGCCGCTACGCGGCGACACCCAATTTAACTAACTCATATTCGAATTCATCTAACAATAAGATGGATATAAGGTCTACAAAAGATTAATGTAGTAATTATATTTCTTGTCTTGTGTCAGTTTAATTTCTGGCGATAAATTAACTTGATTTACTCAATATTTCTGAATCCTAATGAGTAGAACCCTCACAAATAATTTGTTTAATAATCTGGTTTAATAATCTCTCCCTTCATTGGGTTTCAGAATATTAAACAGATTTTTCTCAATTGAATGGGTAAATAGGAAATAATTCATTTATTGCACGTATTATAAAATATTCTGGTGTCGAATGTACGTAAAATAATTGTATGTAATATTGTTGAGATAAATATTTAAGAAACATCTAATAAAAACATTAATAGATGTTTTTTTAAAGGCATTTTTTTCTATGTTTCTTAAACATTTTTTTATATTTGCAAAGTTTATTTATTAAATTTAAAACGGTGTCTGCATTTGTAGCAAAACGCGTTTTAATATCACAAATATGTTGCACCGTAACAATGCTGCAATATTGCAGCAATATTTTGCAACATTTCTGCAATGTTGCAATCTTGCAAAGAAATATTTCTGCAATGTTGCTGCAATATTTCCAGTGTTTGCTGTAGATAATTTCAAAATTATCTAGATAAAGATAAAAATCCGTAAATTTATCTTAGATGAGATAAAGATGATTTTGCTTTTACTTAATCTAGATGAAAAATGAGATGATTATTGCGATAATCTAGATAATTATCTAGATATTTTTGTTTATTTTAGAAGACTATAAATATTTGTAAAAAATGTGACGCAGATTATAAATGGGATATTAAAATCATAAACACATATTCTTTCTCTTTTCCTAAAGAATATTTAAATAATAAAAAAGGTATATAAACGATATGATATAAATATTTATTTATTAATTTATATTTATAATATATTTATAATATATAATATATTAATAATAATCTATAATATATAATATATTAATAATAATCAATGTGTAACAATACATATATCATTTTTATAAAATAAACATTAATGCATTGCACAAATTTAAGTAAAACAAGTACAAGATAAAGTATATTTGTAATATTATTTTCCAAATGAAAAATATATTTTAGCTATTTTAGATAGGTTTTTAGAAGCTTGCCTGGAAAATTCTTTTGCATAATGAAAACATCATCTTAGACAATTTTTAGATAAGATGACATATATTTTTTATCTAAGATAAAGATAAAGATTTTGTATTCTTTGTATTTCTTCATCTAGTTAATGATAAAGATGATCCATTTCTTTATCTAGATAATTATCTAGATAATTTTATCTAGATACCAGCAAACACTGAATATTTCTGTGCCATATGGGTACTCGCCAAGCTTAAAAGATTAAGATGGATGCGAATCTTTTTAGGAATACCGTATGCTCTGCACCAAGCTGGCTTCGGTCTCGGAATCGTTCTGTTAATTTTGGTAGCAGTCTTGACCGATTACTCGTTGATCCTTATGGTGCGAAGCGGACACATCTGCGGCGAGATGAGTTACCAGGGTTTAATGCGAGCAAGCTTCGGCCGCGCTGGATTTTACATTCTCACGGCGTTGCAGTTCATGTACCCGTTCATAGGTATACACAAAAAGTATATTCTAGATGTACTTATTCTATTCTTGTGTAAAATAATGTGTTTTTAACGTTGCAGCAATGGTCTCTTACAACGTCGTCGTCGGTGATACAGTGACGAAAGTTCTGATAAGAGTAACGGGAATAAACGAGACGAGTATCCTCGCGCATCGACAGATTGTCATTCTTCTGGCGACACTCGGCATCACTATCCCACTTTGTCTTTACAGAAACGTCGCGCGACTAGCGAAAATCTCTTTCCTCTCTCTGGTCTGCGTCGGATTCATCCTCCTCGCCATCTTCATTCGGATGGACACCATGTCCGCTATGGTGTAAGCGAGAGTTTCACTTACCGAAAACAGAAAGGCATGATTGCGTTCCCGCTATAAAATCGCTATGTGTAATCATATAGGCGTGATTGATTTGCAGTCCGAGTCAGAGCGACAGTTGGAGATTCGCCAATTTTCCGGGGGTCGTTCCGTCCATCGGTATAATGGCGTTTGCCTTCATGTGCCATCACAATACCTTCCTAATTTACGGCTCGATTGAACGAGCGACCCAACAAAAATGGGATGTGGTGACGCACTGGTCCCTCTTTACGTCCTTCCTCATCGCCGCGACCTTTGGAATCGTCGGCTATGCCACTTTCACGTCGTATGTACAGGGTGATCTCATGGAAAACTATTGCTGGGATGACGATCTGATGAATTTTGCCAGAGTCATGTTCAGCGGTACCATACTACTCACTTTTCCGATCGAGTGCTTCGTTACGCGTGAGGTAAACTCCTCTCCTCTTTTTCTCACCTTTTCGCACAGGATATCTAAAAATTTGCACAAATATCGCATGATGTTACATCTTGCGTCGCTTTTCAGGTGCTCCTGACGGCGATCAAGGGCACAGACGAATTGGAGGGGCACGAGGCATACGTGCCCAATTCGGACCGCAAGTACCTGATAATTACTTTGACGATAGTATCCGCAGCGTACCTGATTTCCATGTTGACGGATTGCCTGGGTGTCGTTCTCGAGCTGAATGGTATCCTCGCTGCGGTACCGCTCGCCTACGTTCTGCCCGGTCTCTGCTACCTCAAGCTCGAGGAGGGGCCCATCCTCTCACCCAAAAAGCTACCGGCGCTCGGTCTGATGACTGCTGGCATCCTAGCTGCTGTCTCGGGTCTCTTGCTGCTCATAATCAACAGCAGTTCCGCTGGCAGTTGCTTTCACGGCAAGATAATGCCGTACTGCATCAACAATACGACGATGCTGCAGCATCAGCAATACGTCGATGCGACCACGATGTCCGCCAATGTCAACACGCAGCTCGCAGTCTAAGTTTAACGGATGGGCACGGTGAAAAAAATCCAGTTTAGTCGTAAGTCTGCCAAATTTTCGAATGAAAGTATATAGTGCGATTAAGTTTGTGCGTACAAATATGCGTAGAAATAATTCGAATCGCCAGGATGCAATCAATAATTATTCGTTATACGGATATCAAATAAGATGAAGGATGGAATGGAAACGCGAGATTTTATACCAAGCTCGCAGGAAGAAGAGTCGAAAGACCAGGGTCGAAACAAGACTTTGTCTATGAATAAATATACCGTTTCAACTTTTATCATACATTACACGAAAGATAAAACTGTGCAAATCATTGCGATTGCGCAGTTTCCTGATTGACAAATCTTACGGAGACATTTTATGATGCGCTTAATCTTAATAAAACAAGCTTCGGTATCTTTAGATTTTAGGATACAAATTTACAAAAAAGGGGACACAAATTTTGCAAAAAAAAGAAGAGACTTTACCATTTACGTTAATGGATTATCTGAGTATTTAATTTGTTTTCTTCACGATTCTCATTTTTGCGAATATTGTGAGATTAGAAAAAATCATCTCGAATATAGCGTACTCGCAATACAAAATCAATGCAATACAGGATTCGCCTTACAAGACGAGGGATCCAAAAATTGGCAATAGATGATCGTCCTTTATGCCATTCAATAAAATATAGATAGTTCTTTGAATGTTCATCGTACGCAAATTTATCGAATTATGGAGAAAAGGAACCATAATTTTGTCACATTTACATAGTTGCGGGCACACAATGAGCTTAACACGTTCGCGAGTAAAAGACACAGTAAAGATTAATTTTTCGTGGCGCATATTATTATTAGGCAGACAGAATTTTAACGTACCAATCGCGATGAATTCGAATTCGAATTTCCGATATTGATATTTATTCATTATTATCGATAGGACATTATTCGTTATAGATTGCGAAAAATAGGACCTTTTATCTAGTTCTAATAAAATTCCAAAAAAGAATCTTCGTGATTACATAATGCGCGAATCTTAAATATAATAATTATCGTGATTAGATAATTGTGATTAGGTGACTAACGTATATATAGAAAGAACGCGTAAGCTAAAAATCTCATTATATTTTTCAAAGAATGTTGAACAGATAAACGGTTTATAAACGAGGATATATATGTATATGTATATACATTACACACATATACACACATACACATTATATTTGTATTTTCTCTTGATAAGGGACTAATATATTGAATGTTAAAAAAAATTAAGAGATATATAAATATTTTAAATGCTCATAAGTGATAATTATAGATGATGGCTTAAAAGAAGTATCGTATAATTTCGTCTTCGCAATTTGCCTTATCTTGCCTAAGATTCTCGGGATGCGCTTGATTTTCCTGGAGAAAAGAGAGCAAATAATATATCTCGATCATTTTTTAGTCTTTTATGAGAAGAACTCGTGGAGAATCGTATGTAAGAGTATTTTTTCTTGCGCGTATAAGCTTTCTGATTACAATCAAATATTATTTATAGTGTGACAAAAATCAAAAGGAATGCAGAGAAATAATATAAACGAGTGACGATCGCGATGAGATTTTCCGCGCTGGTACAATCATTATCAGATTCTATATTCTTGCTTGCGAAATTTAATTGATTAAGATTATAAGGGAAAGGATTTTGGAATATTGTGTTTTTATAGCTTAGAAAAAGAGAGGGAAAGAGAGAAAGAGAGTTGTGAAGTATCTATAATCAAAATAAAATCACACAAAACCACAGTGAAAACAACACAATCACGAAGCGAAAGTAAGCTTCCGCTTCCTAAATGACGCTTACGGACGCTCACACTGATCAAAGACCACATGTAAGAGGAAAGTATTTACCGCGCACGATTCGCGCATCATAATGTGTAAGAATCACAAACATGTTTACCTGCTTAGGAATATATTTCATGAATCTATATGAAAAAAAGAATATAAGAAAAGCCTATATTTAAGATAAGAGAAATTATTAAAAGAGTCTATATATAAAGTTGATATATTAAATGAAAGAGAGATACACCCTCTCTCTCTCCCATCCTTTTTGTCTCCCCCCTGTGAAAAAAGCGGAATATACATATTATCCGCGAATAAAAAAAGTAAAACGCGCGCAGATAATGAGACAAGAGGATACATATAAGAGAGATCTGTATTTAAAAATAATACATATATATACATATATTCATACATATTTATATGCAGTGTTTGCTGTAGATAATTTCAAAATTATCTAGATAAAGATAAAGATAAAAATCCGTAAATTTATCTTAGATGAGATAAAGATGATTTTGCTTTTACTTAATCTGGATGAAAGATGAGATAATTATTGCGACAATCTAGATAATTTTCTAGATATTTTTGTTTATTTTAGAAGACTATAAATATTTGTAAAAAATGTGACGCAGATTATAAATGGGATATTAAAATCATAAACACATATTCTTTCTCTTTTCCTAAAGAATATTTAATATTATAAAGAAATAATAGCAGAAAGGTATATAAATGATATGATAAATATTTATTTATTAATTTATATTTATATTTATAATATATTTATAATATATTAATAATAATTAATAATAATATAAAAGATATATTTTAGATATTTTAGATAGATTTTTAGAAGCTTGCTTGGAAAACTATTTTGCATAATAAAAACGTCATCTTAGACACTTTTTAGATTAAATGACATATTTTTCATCTAAGATAAAGATAAAGATACTTTGTATTTCTTCATTTAGTTAAAGATAAAGATGATCCATTTTTTATCTAGATGATTATCTAGATAATTTTATCTAGATACCAGCAAACACTGTTATTTGTAAATTTGTGTGGCGCGCGTACGCAATCACGCACATACACACACGTCGTTCCGTGAAATGTTTGTAAGACACACGTTGTATGCCTCGTCGAGTGACAAGACACATTTTACGTTTAAAGTTATTATTATACTGATATATGTACATATGTGTGTGCGATACTCACGATATATTCTTTGTACACATGTGTGTATACATGTTTAAATAGAGCATAGGTACAAGAGAAAGAGAGAAAGTGAAGTCGTGAATTTATGCATGTCTTGTATCGTATAAAATACCATTACCGTCATTTTTAAAATTTCGCGCTCGTTTCAAGTTCCTGTGCCGATCTTTTCAATGTTGGCTCGCACATTTAATATAAGAGTTCGATAAATAATTACGTGGTTGTGAGCTTTACGGTTTAACTTACCGTTATACTATCGTTATAGTGACATTAAAATTATCTTTGTTGATTTAGATGTCAAAGTAATTCGAGCGCGTGGATGCGACTGAATATGACTGTACGCAGTACGTATATATATATACATATACATGCGGACAGTTCTCATAATTAAATATTTTATACATGAGAGGACTACGACTTCTCTTTTTCTTTTCGCTTTCGTAATGTCATGTCTCGCTAGGCAAACGTATAATTTATCTTTGCTCTACAGCAAAAATAAGTTGCGGATAAACTTGATACGATACTTTCCTTATAATATTTTACCTTCATAAATCGTATGATACACAAAGGTTGAAAGAATTTTAACAAAATATAATGCGATTAGAGAGTTAGCGATAAAAGAAATTTACAAATATAGATTAATGCGAAACAATAGCAATGTAATAAATCTGTTAAAGCTTTTTAAACGTTACATTTGACAATGTTACATTTTTTTTGACGATTTCGCAAAAATAATTACAAAAATGATAAAATTAGTGTCAGTCTGAAAAAATATTCCAAGTGCCAATTTTGACACGTGAAAGAGAGAGAGAGAGAGAGAGAGAGAGAGTGTGTGTGTGTGTGTGTGTGTGTGTGTGTGTGTGTGTGTGTGTGCGTGCGTGCGTGCGTGCGTGCGTGCGTGCGTGCGTGCGTGCGTGCGTGCGTGCGTGCGTGTGTGTGTGTGTGTGTGTGTGTGTGTGTGTGTGTGGTGTGTGTGTGTGTGTGTGAGAGAGAGAAGAAAGTTTTCTTATGGATGCAATATTAATGTTCGTAAATATGAATATAAATATATTATTGACGATCATTTGCAAACGTTAAGTGAACTTTACACGCGGAACGATCATTGGAGATCATAATATAATCCATTTGATGAGTATGCAATATTACTTCTGCTCTACGTATGAGTGTGTATGTGTGTGTATGTGTAGTTTCACACTGACTTAATGTTTTTCGATGCGCGCACATGTAGCATCAATCTCTGTCTTGACTTAACGTTACGTTTCCGGCAAATTTAGATTTAACGAAGTGTCTCGAATCGCGAATGAAAGTTGCAGAAGTGCGGAAGTATCGTTTTCGAATTCTTTTTAATCCCCTTTCCACGCGCGTGCGAGAGAGTACATTTGCGATGGAAGGAATGGAAGTTGTGCGGGAGAAATGAGAGACCAAATCGACAAAATTTCACAAAAATGGAAGACGCGGATTGTCGCGGGTATCGAGAGTACGTACGCGAATGTGTATGCGTGTGCATCGTGCGTGCAAGAGTCATTATGCTATGTAAATGACGATCTCGCGTTATTCCAACATCCGGCGGAGCTTCCATATTTATTCTGTGATAGAGAGATGCATGCATTTACAAGGAACATTATATATATATATATATATATATATATATATATATATATATTGTTACTTGGTGTTTGCTGGGTATATATATACATATATTTCTTAATAAATGTGAAAAATTTTAAGAGAAATTTTGTCGATTTGATTTTTTGTTGAAAATAAAGAAGGATTTTTCATATAAACATTAAAAAGTTCTAATAAAAAATTGAATAGGGGTTTGCTAGTTTCGTCCCCTTATAACAATACGAGAGACTGGAAAAAATGTTAATAAACGTTTTTATCAGTAGAAAATATCCACCTAATTCCATTTCTTTAACTTGTTTCAAATTTGCAAAAAAAAAAATAAAAACCTAATTTTTACCCCATTTTTGGAAGAGTGTAACTCTACAGGGAGGGATGTAGGAGTATATGTTTATATGAAAAACCCCCCTTAATTTCCGACAAAGAATCATCTCTTAAAATTTTTCGTACTTGTAAAGAAACACCCTGTATATCTATATGTATGTATGCATGTATGTATATAACAGGTTGTGAATGGTGCGCGCGTACCTATCGATGCTATACGATGCTATGATGTTGTTCTTAAATTTATTTCGTGCAATAAAAAAAGAAATTTACGATTACAAACGAAGCAAAGACGCCTGTTCCTCCTTATTTCTCGCTTGTAAAAATTCCTTTCGCGACAACAGCATTTGTCGCATCGGAATACGATCGTTCCTCGACGCTTTTCTGCAAGTAATTTATCATAGGGTTTCACCGACAAAAGAGAACAAAAGTGAGTGAAAGCGATTAGAGATATATTCATGCGCGTTTCTTCGCGTTTGAGCTCCAGAGAAAGCGACAGCCCCCTCCTCTTCAATTTCCACCTACGATATATATCGAGCCAATGTTCGCGCGCGTTGAAAGATTCCGAAAAAATTCGCGCGTTATAAAATGATAGACTTCTCTGTTTTTCCATCCCGACGACTGTGCAACGTGAAGTGAGTGACAAGAGCAAAATCGCTTTGACCTTGTCCGGTTTTGTGTGCGTTCAATAGCTCTCGTTTTCCGTACGTTCCATCGATTCGAGATGACCATCTATTCCCGACGACCTACTTGATCTCTGATCAGTCTCAATCGGTCTATTTGGTTCGCCGTGACAGCTGCGAAAAATTGATGTTGAATATTTTTTACTCCCGACTGCTGCCAACCTACGATTATTTATTCACCATCTCTAGCTTGTCAAAGGAGCTGGATTCGTCGTTAAGAAACAGCACGAATTTCTTCGTTTGGATTATTATTTTAATGAGAAACTCGTAGAAGACAACTCTAAGAGCAATTTACCTCCCTTTTTTCCCAAGGTAAAATTCAACAGATATAATTAAGGATGTTTTATATGTACAATCCCAACAAAAAGTAGCTGAAAATCAATATTGACGAATATATCCACTTTTAATGTATTTTGAGTAAGAAATTGTGTGTAATGTAATTGTATTTTTTAATATTTATTGCGTTTTTACTGAAATATTTCGAATTTTGTTAATCAAAATGATTAACTTTTGGCAGAGAATTTCGCCTTGTGACAGATACATGGCTAACTTCATTGAATTACATTTAATATCTTTTTAACCAGTTTGTACTTGTATAATATTATTTGACCAAATATTTCATCTATCTAAACTTTTAAACAAATTCTGAATATTATTTCCATGCGTTTTTGTCATTTGGCGTTTTTGTCATTAAATCGTGGTTATACGTTTCTCATAAGAACACATGTTAATTCCCCTAACAGCACATGTAGATACTGAGAATGTTGAAGAATATCGCAAAAGTACAATGCATGTATTCTCAGAACAATCGAGATACATAATTGATATATTAAGTATAATATATTAAGTATATACTAAGATTGCTCTAATGTCCGTCTATTTTGGTTAATAGTATAAATAAATACTGAGAATATCTTGTAGTATAATTCATACATGTAATATAAATACTTTTGATAAATGCTGTAAACGCACACACTATTGCTCATTTTAATTTCAAATAATTTTTTTAATATTCTGAATCCCAACCAGGAATCCAGAACAACTAAATTACTAAACAAATTTTAAATTAATTTAATTTATTATAAATTAAACTGACTAAAAAGAAAAAAGAAGAAACTTTGGAACTCATGTTAGTACCAGTCTTTTATTTCCATTTCATCAAAAATTAAGTACGAGTTTGGTAGCGCGCGTAGCGGCGAAATGAGGAAACACAATATTATAAAATGCAATATTATAAAATATCCTGAAACTATACGAGAAAGAATATACTAATACGAGATATTCAAAGTATATTCTGAGAATATATGAAAAATAATATACAACAAGAGATGTTATGGGATTATTCTCAGTATATTACATCTGTAACGTATATTTACAGTATGAGTATAGAACATTCGAATGATATCATGTGCTATTAGGGTCGGTGCAAATTAAAATCCTTATAACTTGTGAACGCTTTAGTGAATCGATTTAAAAATTGTACTGACGATTCTAAATATATGTAAAGACATTCTGTACAATTTTCATTAAATTGTCAATATTTTGAAAATAGGTACAAAACATCCTTAAAATAATTCGTTAACTTTGAAGGCACTTTACAACGTTATTCGCTTCACTTAAAACACGCTAATAGAAAGAAAAAAAAAGAGAAAAAGAGAGAGAGAGAGGGAGAGACGGTTTCGAAGCCGCGTGCGCCTTCGATCGTCGCTCAATATCCTAATTCGACAAACGGGAAACGAGGACGCGAGAACCACGTCATCTCGGAGCATTCCGAATTCCGACCTCCGTCGTCGCCCGTCATCTGTCACCACACGCGTCGCGCGCAGCGACGTCGAATCAGCTGTTACCGCCACCGCCGCCGCTGCGGCAACAACAACGCAGCGAGCCAACGGTGGTGGTGACGACGGTGGCGAAGGTTAATCGCAAGAGCGTTCCTCGAGAAGCTAGCTCGATCGCGACGGTGGTTTAGTGCTCGTCGCGTCGATTAAGGGAGGAGACGGAACGTCGTCGCGGCCATGCTTGTGAGTCTAGAGGGAGCGTGCCTTCGTTGCTGCCTTCATTAATAGAATCTCGCGTGCTTCGTTAGTCGTTCGTCGGTCATGGACGATGTGGCGTACAGCCCGGGCGGGCTGGCGAGATTGTCGACGTTGTTGGGCGCTCCGGAAGCCGCGCTGCGGCTTCTCGTCTCCATTTTACTGGGTAAGTATTCAACGCTCGATATCAAAATGCCTCCTCGCGAGAGAAGATCCCGTTCCTCCCCCTCTCTCCCCTTTCCTTCTTCTCTTTCCTTTCTTTTGCACGCTATATCCGGGGGTAAATCGATCCGCGTTCATTCATAATGTTCCACACGGCTCGATTACCGGCGTGCTTCCTTCTTCCTCTCCTACCTCGTTTCCTTCTAGGGATTCCCTCGGAGGGGGAGCAGATCACCCTCTGCGCGACGTTACGTACGTTGCACATACATAACTAAAATAATAATCCATAATGCGGTGTAATTGCACTTGCGACTTTATACTCACGTTTTAATCTTTAATGTCGTTTTTCGCCTCGATATGCGCGTTATTGACATGTACGTACATACGCGGACCTTGAGCGACGCCAGGAAACGTGCGTCTCGTGCCGAACGTTTATGCGTGCGTCGTGTGTGCATGCACGAAATACTCGTAATCCTTCAATCACTTCCCAGGCAGCATAAAAAGGCCAAAAGATGTCTAAAGGATTTAATTGTAAGACGTCTTTAAGTCGTCTTTTCGATGTCTTTTGAGCATGTTCTGTCGTGTGCTATCTGGGTTATTCCGCTTACGCGCTTATATAGAATCGACAGCTGCAAATTTTTGATCAATGATAAGCATGTAATTAATAGCACATGTAGATACTGAGAATGTTCGAAAAATATCGCAAAAGTACAATGCATATATTCTCAGAACATTCGAAATACTATGATATATTAAGAATGCTCTAATGTCCGCCTATTTTGGTTAATAGTAAATACTGAGAATATCTTGTAGTATAATTCATTATATGTAATATAAATACTTTTGATAAATGCCGTAAACGCACACACTATTTCTCATTTTAATTTCAAATGATCTTTTTAATATTTTGAATCCCAACCAGGAATCCAGAACAACTAAACTACTAAACAAATTTTAAATTAAGTCAATTTATTATAAATTAAACTGACTAAAAAGAAAAAAGAAGAAACTTTGGAACTCATGTTAATTCCAGTCCTTTATGTTCACTTTACCAAAAATTAAGTACGAGTTTGGTAGCGCGCGTAGCGGCAAAATGAGGAAACACATGCAATAGTATAGAATATCCTGAAAATATACGAGAAAGAATATACTAATACGAGATATTCAAAGTATATTCTGAAAATATATGAAAAATAATATACAACAAGAGATGTTATGGGATTATTCTCAGTATATTATATCTGTAACGTATATTTACAGTATGAATATAGAATATTCGAATGATATCATGTGCCGTTAAGGTACATTGTACACATTATATTCATTTACTTTTAGTAAAATTGCAAATAAAATAGGTAGATGAATATGAGAGCAAAAACACGCGTGCGTGAGAGAGGCGTACCTGTGTTTATTTACAAACGCGTTACGTAAATAGCTTGCGATTATTCATTGTCAACGAGCAGGTGCAAAATATTTCCATTTCGCGAACTGATAAAGCTTAATAGATTCTTTTTGTTCTCCTTTAATAGAATATCATTCGAGTAATATAAGAATGCTTTATTTGAATAATATAAGAATGATTTGTTTGTAAACAAATTACTATTAAAATGACAATTTTTTTTGTTACTGTTAAATGACAAATTAGATTTTTTTAATATGCAGGATTTCGAAATATATTTATATACACGAAAATTATTTCTCGTTTTTTCCACCCTGTCAATATTTTATCTGATAAGAATTGAGAAATCTAATATCTCTTGTAATACACGATTAGAAATCAATAGAAAACGATACGCATTTTCCATTCGTGTCGTCAACTTCTTCGATAATGATCTAATTGTGACTTAATCTCTCTCTTTCGATATGTCGAAGTTATGTCTTTCTACACAGAAAAAAATAAGTGTCAAATCAAAACTTATATACTTAAACTAATGCATTCATTGTTTCGTATATACGCAATAATTTATAATCTTCTTAGAAAAATTTAATAATTTCAAATTTCAATAATATTATAGTCTTATTTTAATAATGTAATTGTCACCTTAAGAATATATAATTATTTAATTCTACTTTAAGAAAATTATAATCTTTGATTTAAAAATGTTATTTTCTATCTAACATTGTTTCTTTTCCATTCAAGAAAATTAAATCTTAAATTATAAAAATATATTTTTCTTGATTGAATTGTACAAAATAGCTTCATTCAAGTAAGCAATTATTCAAGCAAGTATATTTTTCTTTAATTAAGGCAATATAATCTCATTTCAAGTTTTCCATGTTAAAACTAAATATATTTTCAAAACAAGAATGCCTTTTTTTCATCATAATTTTATTTTTTGTTCCCATATAATAAAATAGACATTTCATATGTATTTATATGCACGTAAAAAATATCAAACTTTTTATACGACTTCAGTTCAATTTATTACTTTAGCATTTGATATAGGCGAAAATGTGAGAATATGTAAGGAAAAAATACATGAGAAATTATCAAAGTAATCATCATTGAACAATCATCATGTAATTAGAAGAAATAAAAATAAAGATAAATTTTCACGTAATAATGTGAGGATAAAAAAAATTGACCATGAAACTTTATGTGACTTCAGGATTTCCCGTTGCGCTCCTTCACAGATACACGCTCTATGGCAAGGATCCTATTCATCAGCACTTATTTTTCATAGCGTGCGGTCTCTCAATTGGTTACTGGAATTACGGTAATTCGCTTCAACGATATCTCAATTTGCGGAGAATAAAAAAATAGCGACGCGTGCACGATTGCCCCTTTTCATACAAAGAAGGACATGCATGTATTCTCTGTTTTCGCAGATTATCACATACTTCATTCATCAACGGCGATATGTGGGACGTATCTGATCTTAATGATCCTCGGCAACACCGGATTGTTCGTCATCATGACGTTCCTCTTCAACATGTTGTATTTACTTTACGGTAAAGCAATGTTAACTTTACGCCAACGTCAAGAGTTTATGTTATAAAGTTGAAAAGAAAATCGGTTTACAAGTACATCTATTTGTGGATACTGTGTTTATTACACTCTCTCGATTTATCTATTGGACTTGGAGATATTAATCTACATAATATCAACATAAAATTAAAACGTACTCGAGGTTTTTTTCGACACTAAGCTATTTCTAAAAACAATAACTGCTTGCTCTATGTGCGTTTCTGTCATATTTTTAGAGCAACCTTGTATTACGATGTTATTTTGATTATTACACTTACAGAAAAGATTTCTAAATTTAATGCTGTTACACTTCAATCTATCATAAAATAGGATTGATATAGCGACAATCATATTTTTTATTAAAAAAGAATATTTTAATCTTAAATGGAAAATTTTTAAATCTAGAATGAAATGATCCTGATACTATCTACAAAAGACGACAGATGCATATCGGTTTCGCGCAGCTACTGACGCTAATATCAAATTATTCTAAGTGCAAGAATATATAGCTTAGATTTCTTTATATTATTCTTGTTTCCAGATTATAAAGACAATTTTATTTAATTCGAGAGAGAAGAATAATAATTATTATTTTAGTTTTAAAATTTCATTTTTATACTATATAAAGATTGTGACCGGATTAAATGTGTCAAGAATATTTTTCGTCTTGTTAGAAGAAATCCTTTCTGAAAGGATAGGGAATGCATCACCAACTTGTAATTCTGTTTGGAAATATGTCGCGTAATAAAAGTATAATATCGCGAAATATTATACTCTTGACTTATGCGAATTGATATTTGTGATTATTTTTTTTTTCACTTATTATATTTCGAGCACCTTATACAGGGTGACCCATTTTAACTTAGGCAGCCAAATAACTCGAAAAATAAGCACACTACGAAAAAATGGTTACAATCAAAATTTCGTCATTTCGAGGGGGACGTACAATGACATTAAAATCAGCCCCCCCACCCCTCCTCCTGGGCGGTGAGGGGGGGCAAGAAAAAATATGTAATTTGCAATTAACAATTCCATATTTTTTCTTAAAAACAACTGTATGTTTTCTTTACACCAATTGATTCCTCTCATTATTTTGTACATAAAAGTATGAAGGTAAGATAATCGAAAAATGAATGGTTTACTAGATATTTTATGGTTTATGTAAAATTAAGAAATTATTTTAAGCCTTATAACTCAAAAAGTACTTAATAAAAAGGTACTTAATTATAGTGTTTTGGAAAGCTCTCGAGATAAGCTACAAGAATATGCAATGAAAAATAGGGGGTTCCATTTAAGATTTCAAACTTGCCCCCCCTCACCGCCCAGGGGGAGGGGTGGGGGGGCTGATTTTAACGTTATTTTACGTCCCCCTCGAAATGACGAAATTTTGATTCTAACCATTTTTTCGTAGTGTGCTTATTTTTCGAGTTATTTGGCTGCCTAAGTTAAAATGGGTCACCCTGTATATTATAAGATATTTGAATAAGAAATGTTTTTAACGCAGGTTATTACACCACGAGCACCCAAGATTATGATATAAAATGGACAATGCCGCAATGCGTACTTACCCTTAGGTTAATAGGACTTGCATTTAATATATGGGATGGTAAAAAACATGACGTACGAACGCTATTTCTTTCAATAATTCTACTATCTCACGGTATTATTCCGCGACGCAATCAATGGAACGAATATTGTAGAAGGAGCTGTCTGATAGCCAGAAACTGGTAGCCTTGAAGGAACAACCGTCGCTGTTAGAAATCGCGGCGTACGCTTATTTCCCAGGTGCTTTCCTCATCGGGCCGCAGTTCAGTATACGACGATACCTGGATTATGTCAATAGTCGATTTAGCGAGCGTGTACGTGTAATGATTATTATTGTCGTATATAAATATCTGTTAAATTGCGAGAAATATGAATCTATCTCGATAAATGTTGCGCTTTGTATTTTATTAGGATCCGGTAACCGGGGCTGTCAAATTGCCAGATTGCGTATCGGCTGGATTGTTGCGGGCCTTCGTTGGATTTATATACGTGGCGATATTTCAGATCGGAACGCTCTACGTTTCCGATCAATATCTCCTCGAACCGTCATTCCAGAAATTAAATTTAATAAAAAAATGCTTGCTCATCGGCGTGTGGGGTCGCATCAATCTCTACAAATATGTCAGCGTCTGGTTAATCACAGAAGGGGTAAATATAATTCACGCTTGCAGTCCTCGTGTTGATCGTCTTCTGTAACACGCATGTACATCTCACTATATCTGATTTCAGGTGTGCATTACTTTTGGTTTGACATACAATGGAAAAGACTCCGAAGGTCACATTAAATGGGACGGTTGCGCGAACGTTAAACTGCGAACGTTCGAAACCGCTACGCAATTCAATCACTATATTCTCTCGTTTAACATAAACACCAATCACTGGTGCGCCGAGTATATCTATAAGAGGTTGAAGTTTTTGGGCTCAAGAATGCGCAGCCAAATAATGACGTTGCTCTTCCTCGCTCTTTGGCACGGTTTTCACTCCGGATACTATAACTGTTTCTTTATGGAATTTCTTATCATGTACTTTGAACGAGACGTAAGTATAATGCGTGATTCAAAAATCAATCCATTACTCGGCTCTTCCGATTTGCCATTCTTTTCTATCCGATCTATCATTTTTTTTCTCTCTCTTTTCCAGATCGGACCAGCATTACAGAACAGCGAAAAGGTGCAAACGCTGCTGAAGACTCGATGGGAAGCACGTATGCTCGCTTGGCTCTTTATGAAGCTTTACACTTTAATTTTCATGGGGTATAGCCTCGTGTCGTTCATACTTCTCTCGTATCCACGATATAATCAAGTCTACGCAAGTGTGTACTATTGCGGACACGTGTTCTTCCTTTCTTATCCGTTACTCGCACCGTACATTAAACGATTGATTGGCCAAAGACATGAGCGTCAACGATCGCACCAAGAATAAGATCACACAATTTCGCTCGCCCCCCCAATTGCGACATTGTCCTTTGTTCTTGTCGCAAATTAATATCTGAGAAGATATATAATTGTGAAAACAAAGGATGGATATACTAGTTATACTGATCTTCAACTTTTAAAAGAGAATGTGATAGCGCATATCCAATGGAAAATGTAGAATATAACATATATATAGAGCACATTATTATCACTCTCGCGTTTCACAATAGTTGAGAATTCTATAATTGCCGCATTTCCGTCACTTGAATATCTCGATGATTAAGTTTCATGAGCGAGAAATTTGTTTTAAATATCCTTAAAATGAAATAACGCTTAAACAAAATGCGATAGTGCTGAAATATTATCCTATATAAGTGGTGATCCTAAGAACGTGAGGATGATACTGCTAAGAACGTTTCCATTTGCAAATTAATGCATTGTTCAGAAAAAAATTCCGCTGGTCGGGAATTTTGAGTCTGTTATTTTAAAATTTTTATGTTAGTACATATTTCTTTTTAAAGTTTCATTAATAATTCTAGATATTTCACAGTATTATTTTTATACAACAGCATGTTCTTGCATCTTTAATCCTGTAATTTTTCTGTACGTAGGATATTCGATCAAGGTTCTGCTCACTTGTACATACATTTCACCGATAATATTGTAATTTTTAAAACGCGTTACGCTCTTATAATAATAAGAACGATATCGTAATTACAGCGGCTAAGTAAGTTAGCCGGATGTCACAATATTCCCGAGAGACTCGAAAGAGAAAGCAATTTATGTATTTAGATATTGCAATAAGAACGTCCACTAAAACAGATTCAGGGAAATTGCATTGCGGAAAATATCTGGGAGATATAATATCGTGATTTTGTAAGTGCGAAAGTTAGCTATGTAACACGTAAAAACAACGTAGGTCAGTATTTTCGGATACGCGTTCCTCTAGTGAGCGATTGAAGTATCTATTTTACTGTAGTGCCGCATTTTATCAATCCAAATACGATTTAATCGCGTTCCGCTATAATTATTCTAGAAATGTAAATATACGCATATAATGATAATAGATTAAAATTGATTCTAGTCGGGGAGATATGTATGGACATACCTTCTTGCAGTATTTCGTTAGATCAGTATAAAGTAACGATTCAGAAGCGATTTTCGATCTAATATATACATTCGCAATTATTTTTTTAGATAAAAATCTAAACAACGATCTACCTATTTATCCCTGTTGCGGTTCCCATTACGCACATATAGCCTTTGAAATTTAGAAATATAGTTGCTACTAATCCAATATTTATATACGTATATAAATATTGAATTAGTACATATATATATATATATATATATATATATATATATATAGCCTTGCCGAAATTTAGAAATATAGTTATTACTAATCCAATATTTATATACATATATATGTGCACACACATATATATATGAAAAATAAAAAAAGAGTGCCCGGATACTAATACTTCTTGCAATCGCTCGATCTTTTATCGTTCCTATTTACGAATGATCGAATTATAGATCGACAAATAATTCATAGTATATATTTCACCTATGATCTTAATTTATCAAAGATATTTCTGACATAGTCGCGCGTACAGGTTTACACAGAGTTTTAGATACTTGAATATAAAGGAATATACATATATACAGGGTGTCCCAATACTCATAATCAATCTTTTAAAGACAGATTCCTGGGATCATCTGAAGACGATTTTTCCTCAACGAAAATGTCGAGGCATTAATAATTTTCGAATTATAAGTGATTGGAAATAAGGGGTTTTTCGTAAAGCTAAACTTTGTAGAAATAAAATATTAGCAAAACCACATTCTTCAATTAATTTTAAATAGAGTTTATTTTAATTGAGTTTTAATTTAAGGCTTAATTGCAAAGATATATGATGACAAAAATTGGGAACATGCAAAAAATGATGGCCTTCATCGACATTTTCGCTGAGGAAAAATCGTCTCCAAATGATCCCAGGAATCTGTCTTTGAAAGATTGATTATGAGTTTTAGGACACCCTGTATATATATATATATATATATATATATATATATATATATATATATATATATAAATAGCGGACATAGCAGTCAGGAATTGTATACACGTTTGCCGATAGCGTTGATTAGAATTGTAACTAATAGAGAACGATCTAAAACTGACGTTCGTAGTGTAAGATCTTCATCTAGTTAATAAGCGCGAATGCATGAATTTTGACAGTATTATAAGAATTCTGAATTTCTTCTGGATCACATATATATTTCGTACTTAACGCTAATATGAAATTCTACTTGGACAATTGCACTCTGTTGCATATATTTGCAAGTATTTTATCTGACTTCTTAATCTTACGTATTTTTTTTCAAATATCTTTAAGAGAAGCGTTATAATAAATTGTTGCAAATTTTGTCATAAATAATGATTGCGAGTGGGATACAGATTTTTGAGACTTGAAACACGTTCAAGATTAAAAAAAAAAAAGAAAGTAGTTAGAGGCATAGGAGTTCTGCGAGTGCGAGCTAGATCTATGAATAATTTCGACTTTGTATCTAATGAGAGACGCTAGAATGAGAAGCTGTGCGGATTGTGAGAATTTGCGAAACAAAGGATAAAGTTAGTGAAGAGAGAAAGGCGATATACACGAGGTGATTACATGTAATAATACTGAAAGTTGATATAAAAAGTGTATATTTACGATTATTTTCTTAAAAGATACGAAAGAAACATCGACGTCTCGCATATAAAATGATTTGTTTCACATTTCTCTTTTTAAGATATCTTTTTAAGACGGACACGAGCGTACTTGATACTCGGCCAGTTATTCGGGGATCACGCACACGTACATACATCTACGTGTGCGCGCGAGTAGACTTGGCAATACGAAGCGTCCGCCTCTTAAGCATCCTTTAAACACCATGCGGTCTATCTTACGAGATACAGAATTACAGATATATATACAACCCTCCTACAGTTATTAAGATCCAAGTGTCCGGGTGTCCGGATTCACGTCCGCGTCCATTATGAGAAAGAAAGTGATCGAGAATAGTCTCCGAGAGATAGAGAAACCGTCTCCCGACTGAAGGTGGCCGAGTTTCGAGGACGGCGTGACACACGATTCTCGATTTATTTAACGACCAATTTAATACGGTCCGCTGGGACCCGGATGTGGTGCTCCATAACTATCGATGGGTTGTCCCGGTTGTTGCCCCGGTGGACCGTATTCGCCGCCCTGTGATTCCTTCTGTAATGCGTGAAAATAAATATATATGAAGGAGATGAAAAAAAAGAGGGAGAAACGACACATGTGCGTAAAATATTTTTATATGCTAGTAGTTCATCGCGCGATCGTGACCTTTTCCGCGATTGCAGTTTGATAGAATTCGATAGACAATGAGCCGGTTCTTTTTAGCTGCACTGCTGCACTAGTGCAATTAGTTAGAGTGAAAGAAAGTACGTTTGTCTCTTTCCAACTTATTGCACTAGTGCAGCTAAAGAGAACAGACCCAATCTCTCGCGCAATTTAAATCACGTCGGTACATATATATTCTGATGCTGAAAGCCCGAGGCAATTTAAGCCAGAGAGATTTCAGTAGCTATAATTGATTGATACTGTAAAAGGATTCTCCTCGATCGATGCTTGATTAATGCGCGTAATAATAAATATATATAATTAGATATTTCCTTCGCAACAAAGAACTGCAACTGATGCGCGGTGTAATTAATAGTTGCATCTGTCTTGACTAAGGCTTTATTCTGGAAATTTCAACAGCTCGCTTATGCCAATAGTATCATTATATTAATCGAGGAGAGAAACTTTCTACAATTATTCAAGTCGTCAACATGTCAATTATCTTGACAATTTTTTACGCGAAAAAAAATGATCGGTCCAACTAAGCGAGGCCGTAAACTCGCTGAGATAAATGACGGGCGGATGTCATTGATATTGACGACATGTCTGATATTCGCATCTATAACTCCTACGCAAAAAAAAAAAGAAATGTTGCCTCGTTCGCTTTATCATCCAAAATGAGCAATTTACATTCCGCAAGCGAGGCGCCACACTTTCCTCTTTCGTCATTGGGACATTCGAGGAGATGCTTAACCAAGGTTCTCGATAGACCGCTTTCTGGTAGCGGTTGTTACATCGTGTTTTAAAACGACTGAGAAATTGCACAATATCTATATTGCGTTTTAATTCCCCTCACAAGAAGGAACATTCTCAGTCTACGTGCGTCCCAACTTGATTGTATAAAAGTGGGAACCGAGAGTCGCAAAAAAAAAGAGAAAAGAAAAGAAGATTACCTGAGTTTTGTATCGGATGAAGTAGACTTCGGGCTTGCTAGGCTGCGTCGGCGCCTGCGTCGGAAGTACAACGTCGGGCGCCTCTTCCGGTTTCTTGACGAGCACGTAGATCAACGTCTTCTCCTCATCCGGCTGCGGCAGCGGTGGCAACTGCGGCGCGGTCGGCGTAGGCGGCGTCGGCGCCTTGATAAAGACTATCTTGTAGTGTTTCTGCGGCGGCTGCGGCTGCGGCACGTGCTTGGGCGCCTTGTACTCGGGTGCTTCCGGTGGCGGTACGTGGACGTACACGTGCTTGTGGACCACCGGATTCTGTTGCGGCGGTCCATAACGGTCCGCGGGTGGCCCGTAGCTACCGGAGGGACCACCCCCACCGGAGGGTGGGAAGTACGAGCTCACCGGCGGCTCCGGCGCCGGTTTCGCGATCACCAACGCGATCGATGAACAGGCGATCACGAAAATCGTGCTCTAAAACGAGAGAATAATATCGTTGACTAAGTTTCCACCGAGAGTTCGAATTGGGTCAGAGTTGGGTCAGAATAGGGTTTATTGGTGTTTCTATCATAAAAAGTTCACCCCAACTTGACTGACCTGACTCTGACCCAACTCTGACCCGATTCGAACTCCCGGTGGAAACTTAGTCAATAATTATGCACTGAGAAAATCTTTGCATTAGAATTCTGGTGGATTCAACCAGTATGTCTGTTGGAAAATGGACGAACCAGAATTCTTGTAGGAATTACCAGATGAATCTGATTAATTTCTTCCTGTTAAATTTACCAAATTTTCTGATTAATAATAGAGCCAGCACCAATTCGTCTAAAATTTTTTCCATCTAATCTCAAAAGAAAGTCGGGAGCGTCCCGTTTGACCACAGCCAATTATATCGACCTGTGCCTATGGTAACCAGCAACGATTAACCAATCAGAGAGTCCTATTTTGAATTGGCCAATTGGCGACGTGGTCAATCGAATCCCATCCCAAAAGTCTGTTTAATATTCTGAATTCTAACAAGATTATTGAATAAATTTAATTCAAATTACTAAATAAATTATTTTAAATTCAATTCGTTAGAAATTAAACTGATAAACAGTATACAAGAAGAGGATGCAGCTCAAATACACACAATCAGAACGCTAGCGATCCTCTTTCTGGCTACTGCTCGTAAGAGAAAAAAATATATTTTGGATTTAATGTTAATACTAGTTCTTTATATACATTTCATGGCAAATATTGAATACGAATTAAGTTAAGAGTGGCTCACCGCCAGCGGCAAACAAAGAAATTAATGTAACAAGAAATTTTATAGATCCATCCAAAAAATACTAACCAAATCCTTATAGTAAAATCTATTAAACGTTCTAGTTATGAAAAAATCGAGTCTTATTATAATAACTAGAAATTCTTATTTGATTTAACCAAAATGCCTTCAATCGTATACGTCTTGGTGCAATCAAACGATTTTTCTCAGTGCAGCACTTGGGTCAAATTAGCGTGTAATTAACAATTGTTAATTTTATAATTAATTATACACCGTGTGCGAAAGTTATAGCGAGGCATATAATATATTGATTAATATGATGAATTATTAATAAATTGTTAATTATACGTTCATTTAACACGAATGGCGTGTAAATAGGAATATATACATATTCGTGTGTGTAAATGACATCGTCCGTGAATGGGTGAAATATGCGCGCTAAGTCGCATCGCTTGTTAAGGAGCTAATTTGCAATGGAAATTTCTTGATTCGCGCGATTCCGTTATCAACGATTCTTCCGCGATCGATTGTCGCGTCGTGACTTTTGACTCGCAGTCACGTAATCGTACAATGTACAATTTCCTCCCCGATAAAGACGACTAATGCGCTCTTGCAACACGAGGAAACTCGTTAGCGGGCTTTTCAACGTCGATTCCTTCAACTGTCAGTCGACCGGTCGCGACCTCGCGAGTTCTCGCAACTCGCGATATTTCTCTTCGCACCGCGAGACGTGAGAAAGTGCATTGATCTAGAATAGCATTTTCCGTTCCCACATTTCCCGAACAGGGAGCGAGGGCGAGAGAGAGGGGGGGGCACCATGTCGCAGCGTTAGCGCGGAAGGAGGACGATACGCTGTCAATGTACCTGTGGGCGATACCTCACTTCGCTCGAGCGAAGCTTCCTACTCATTTAACGACCCGCGATCGTTTAATCATGATGCTTCGAGAGCGCGGCGGTGTCGGGAGACTTTGAGAGCAGGAGCTCTGCTTTCGCTATTTTCCTTGGCGCTGTAATTATCAAGACCGTGTCGGCGAATGAGAGGGCGGGGGGGCACAGGAGGATCCCCCTTTTACTTTTACACCGCGGTTGCGAGTCGCTTCGAGTCCACGGGATTCATACGCGATGCGCGGGGGCACGTTTGAGAGATTTTTTTTTCCCAGTCTCTCTTTCTCTCTCCCTCTCTTTTTTCACGGCGGGAAAAACGTGCCGGGTCACTTTCCATCGTCTGAAGGAAAAAAAGAAGAGGCAGATGCTCGGTCACTGGAACCCATGATGATGTAAACGCGCAGACTCGCGAGCCGAGAGCAAGATCTGTATTACTCGAATAGAAAGCGAATGTCTTTCGACAAATATTTTTCATCAATTTGTTAATCGTATGCTTTTTTTTTTGATCGACGCAGCAAGAAAAGTGAACGAACGATTTGAGAAGAAGGACAGGAGAGACGGGCGATCGGAATGTCTCGATGATCGCGCGATTTCGCAAGGACGAAAGTTACTCTCATTATAATGCACCTGGTCACTTGATCGCTCGTTACTCGGTAAAAGGATTGCGCCAATCGACGTTTAAACTTAACAACCGGTTTTGAGTGTCCCTTGAAAGAGGAGAAGAGAAGAAGAGGCAGCAGGTGCCTTGCTTAAGCTTCGGATTTATAGCGCCTCGAGTGTAAATAATGCAAAAATTCAATTCGATAAAGTTACACTTGTCCTCGCAAATAATATATTACATAGCCGTAATAAAATGCCTGTTTAAGCACGCGATCGACGAATAATCATAAATAAAAAATGCGCACACCTTGTGCGTAAGATAGCGTAACGTCTTATATTTTATTGCTCGCATCAATCACCCTCGTGCGCTATAATAATTCAATTGAAACGCTATAATAATTCAATTGAAACGCTTTCATTTAAACCCTCGTTTAACATTTTTCGAAATGGCACGATAAAAAAAAAAAAAGAAAGAGATAAGCGCCAAAAATATCCTCAATTCGGCGTCTCTGGAGCTCGAGGACTTTCCTGAAGCGAAGCATAAATCGAATAATAATGAAGGTTTATTTTCGACACGCGTTTACTTACTGCGACGGTCCGCATTTCTCCTACGTGTGTATCGGATTCAGGTGGTACTCCCGAAATGTAAGGCACGTAGAAAAAGAGGAACGTGTCGAGCGGGCGGCGTTTCACTTGCGAGCTTTCACGCGTGTGGCGTGCGGTCGAGGCTCTTCCGAACTTTTATAGAGGCCATCGAGGGGATACGTACCTACCTACCTACGGAAAAGGAAGGCACAGGAAGGTGGACGATGGGTAACGTCATCATCGTCGTCTTCTTCTTCGTCATCGTCATCGTCGTTACGCGTCCCTCTCCTCGGGGGGGGGTTTCTTCTTTCGCGTCGTCGTCCATCGCTTCCGTTTTCAACGGAATTCGACCTACCGGTCGAGAATCCCAGAGGTGCGACACGGCATGGCACGGAGAAAATGAAAGTACTCAAGATGAAGATTCATCGTCCCGCGGAACAATTTACCGCCTAGCCGACGTCGCTTGACCGATATTTTTCTTCCGCATATCATCGAGATGAAAGTCGATTTTCTTGCAACGATTATATCGATGACAATGCGAACCCCCTGACAGGGGTGTTTTGCGGAAATCTAGATTTTTATCAAGATTATTAATTATTGTAATGTAGATGATAAAATTGAAGCTTCCTCGGGAACCCCCTGATTTTTTTCTATTCACTTCTTCGCGCGCGAGAAAAAAAGTATAAAGTCAATTATAGTGAAAATTTAATTTATTTAATAATAATTTAATATATTTAATTTATTAAATTAAATTTAATATTTAATTTATTAAATTTAAATTCGTCCGTTATTTGCGTTAATTTATTTCGACTTTTTTGACTCTTTTATTATTATTTATTTTGTTTTGCGTCTTTCCGTTTATTATTACTAATGACTGTTAATTTTATTTCATTTTATTTGTATGTCTTTACTGTTATTTCGCGATTTGACATTGAAAAGGATCCGAATTGGATCGAAACGCAGCGTTTGTCACCGAAATTAAATAAACGTTTTATTGATTTATTACATTAAAATTAATAATATATAATAATAATTAATAATAATAATATATAATATATAATAAATATTAATAATAATAATTAATAATTAAAATTTATAACCGTTTTTTCGCATCTTTTCATCATTGCGCTGGTCCTTTAAGCCTTCTATTGAATTTCTGATTTATTAAATTTAGTGAAAATCGAGAAATAAAAAGAACAAGTAAAATTTACGACGAATCGTCTCTCTCGTTCTTTAATTTCGCGTGTTAGAGGCCATTATGTCGGCTTTTATCGTTCACGTGGAAAGTCATGTCAAGTAATTAGGATTCCGCGAGATTGAGAAGAATTTAAAGCGAGATGGAGATTCTCGCGAGCGATAAAAATAGTATCATCTGGAGGTGATGCTGGAATACTTTTCACTTTCTTCGTACCGACGTATGCGGTTACCGCATACGTACGCATTACGTAAAATGCGTGGAAAGATATTTCTGGACGGCTCGAGTGCGCACCCTCTCCCTCCCCCGCACACGCATCGCGAGTTAATAAAAAACTATACTTTACTATTGCGCGGGGAGGGAGGAAGACGCGTGCGTGCCGATTTAAATATCCGATTGACTCGGTAGGTGCCTAAAATGCTGCAGAGGTGAATTATTCATCGCGCATATCGTAACCGATGGGAATGCCGTGCGCGAAACCGCTCTTGACATAACTACCTACTCTCGATCGATAGGGTACCAATTAATGAATTATTCATTATTTGCTTTGCATAGCGAATCGGAGTTTAGAGACAGAGAAGACGCGTGTGAGAAAAAAAAAAAGAAAACGCGGCTACTGTACGCAAACCGATCCGACACTCGAGCAAGTCTTATTATCTACGCCCGGAGGGAGAGACCTCTCCCCCCGCTATCATTACCACATATATATATATATATATATAAATATATGTGTGCGTGCGTGTGTGTGTGTGTATGTACCGGACGTTGGACGATCGCTTCGTTACCCAATGTATACTTTCTTCCGCGAGTAAAACGCACGTACATGTACTTTGTTGCCGTGCGATTATCCGGACGACGTCGTCGTCGTCGTCCGTGGCCTGGACGCGGGAGGAGAGCAACGGGACGTGCGAATTCGCCTCTTGCCGGTGGTCGTCGCGCGTTACGCGATCGCGATGTCGGAGGGATATTACCGGCATTCGTAAACGTACGGTATAATCGCCGTAGGATCGTGATGCGCTTTGAAGAGTCGCGGTCTTGATATGCGTCGCACGGCGCGGAGAGCATTTCACTCTGATTTCATCCTCGGGCGCTTGACCGGCGAAGTTATTCGTCGGATATATTGCGCGGCGAACGGAAGTCGGGGATGATGTAGGTCAGTGTAGTCCTCGTGTGCTCCGAAATATGTTGTATTGGAAAAAAGATATAAAAAAAAAACAATTAAAGAGGAATTATTATACATGTTATGAAAAAAATATATTTGAAAAAAATAAAAAAGAAATTATTGAAAGCGTTATTTCTTATTTCTTAATTGTCGCTTTCGTTTTAATTGTAATTTTTTATTGTATTGTATTGTATTGTGTATTGTATTTTTTATTGTATTGTATTCATTTTATTGTGTTTGTAATTTTTTTACTTTTATCTTTCTTATGTAAAGAAATACGCCAATTAGAAATAATAAACCGTACACACTATATCGATTTTTATACAATTGCCGAGATGCATATCTTTTATATAAAATATTCTTAAGATGTGACAAAATACATATGTACATATATAACAATATGAAAACGGTAAAAGTTCATTAAATATAAAAAGAAGTTAATTATAAATATATGTCGCGAGCAAGTTGCACGATAAATGTAATTTTTTATTTCCAATAGACGTTATTTTTTTATTATTATTATAACTTTTATAAAAAAGACAGATTTATAAAATTTTTTCCGATGTGCAATTTTCCAAAAAACATTATTTCTTTAAATTTAAATGCAAGGCATGCAGTTAAATAAAAAGACTCAAAATCTTTGAAATAACGTGCCATTTAATTTCTATTGTCATTTAAAGTTCTTCAAATTTGGTTTAATCATATCCTCCTCGAAAATAAAGTTGCAAACCAATCGGTTACAAAATAAATGACTCATTCCATATAATCAGTGTTTGCTGTAGATAATTTCAAAATTATCTAGATAACGATAAAGATAAAAATCCGTAAATTTATCTTGGATGAGATAAAGATGATTTTGCTTTTACTTAATCTAGATGAAAGATGAGATGATTATTGCGATAATCTAGATAATTATCTAGATATTTTTGTTTATTTTAGAAGACTATAAATATTTGTAAAAAATGTGACGCAGATTATAAATGGGATATTAAAATCATAAACACATATTCTTTCTCTTTTTTTAAAGAATATTTAAATAATAAAGCAAAAAGTATATAAATGATAAATATTTATTTATTAATTTATATTTATAATATATTTATAATATATTAATAATATAATAATAATATATTTATAATATATTAATAATAATAATATACAAAATATATTTTAGATATTTCAGATAGATTTTTAGAAGCATGCCTGGAAAACTTTTTTGCATAATGAAAACGTCATTTTAGACAATTTTTAGATAAGAGGACATATATTTTTCATCTAAGATAAAGATAAAGATACTTTGTATTTCTTCATCTAGTTAAAGATAAAGATGAGCCATTTCTTTATCTAGATGATTATCTAGATAATTTTATCTAGATACCAGCAAACACTGTATATAATAAAATCTCCGTATGTTTAATTTGACATCAATGAAGCGTGTTAAAAACTCGATCATTCCGCCCAAGATATTCTTAATTACGTAGATAAAAGGAGGGAACTTTTTGATTCTTTACAATTTCGTTCACATAGAAAGCTCGAGAAGATTCGCTGAATATCCGGTCGAAATTCGTTTTTCTTCTCCTTATCGCGATCGCGTTAAGTACATCTTCGCGACGATATCAGGGCGAAGGTATCAGAGCGAGTCGCGAGCGCATAAATCTGACGCTACATAAATTTTACGTCGCTCTTCGCCTCGAACGCGAGTGAACGTACTCGCTGTGTAATATTACATATATGTGATATGACGCAGCTCTCTTAGCGCAAACACATACACATATATTATATATCATTTATTATATATGTAAGACGCGGATACTTTACCCACCCCTATAGACGGTGCGATTGCGTGATTCAAAATTGCCTCCCTTTTCCCTATACTGAAAAAATTGTATTCTCAACTTAAGAATGTGTCACTTATCTTTAAAAATAGTGCCAAAAGGATCTCCCTTCTTTAGTATATATTTTAAAGATAAGTGGCATATTCTTGGATTTGAGAATGCAATTTTTTCAGTGTATCTCCATCTATCAAACCATCGACGCTTATTTTCCCCGGTTATTACAAACGAGAAATCGTAATAGACGCTCGTAAACAATTAGCTATAAGTGATATAATCGACGCGATAATTCGCGCCTAATAAATCCCGACTCGATCTTACCTTCAAAAGATAAGAGGTCGATTGCTCAACGTTTAGTCTCGTAATTGTAAAAAAATGTAAAAATCGATTCGCGCCTCGACAAAGTGCCTAGCGAAAGCGACGGACCTGTCACGTACCTGTCAAATGTCGATTCTAATTAATAACATTATACGATTTTCGCACGAAAGTTACGCGACTAATGGCCGTCGTCGCATTCGTTGTGGACGATGAGTTTCACCGGCGCGGTTCGAGAGATTGAGAGAGATCGTTGCCGAGATAGATCGGAGCTGTTTTCTTAATCTCGGACGACTACTCCGGATTCCCTTCTATTGTAAGAGTTCGAGTCCGCATATTCGAAAACGCATTCTCACCTGCCTCGCATATAATACCCAGGATCAATTAGGCCCGCGTTTTTAACACGTTCGCTTAATAACTCTCGATTTCTCGCGACTACGTTGGATTACGAATGAATTTTTTTTTCTCTCTCTATAAATACAATCCATGTAAATTAACTGATTTTAAATATTTGATAGTACGATTAATGAGATTTGGAGAAAACTTCATTTTTAATCTGTCATTGAAGCAAAAAGCGAATAAAGCGAAATTTTCAGCGAAGAGGAATCGCTTGTGATAATCAATCAGAATTATCTGTTGATCCACGAATCAAAAAGACACAGTGTCATTGGCGTTTTTTTATAAAGCGTTTATTATAAATTTTAAATGCGAATCGCAAACTTTGTTTTTTTTAAATCTTGATTTATCGTTTGCAAGAAACACACGACTTTTCGCTTCTGATGTCATAATACGATGCGTAGAGTCGCGATGTAAGCTACTAGGAGCATCTTATAATGTTAAACGCGCACCTGGACATCTGCCAGGAGATCCGTAATACACGTAAATTTCAAAAGAATAGTTCTAAGAGTATAAAAAATGGCAAAAGGTTTCTCCGCGACACGACGTTCATATAATCTTCTCCGAATGTGTCGAAATCGCATCATACCGGCGCCTCTTTTCTTTCGCCCTTAGATATATATACATACATATATACACACAAATATATATACATATATGTGTGTAAATATTCAATTGTTGGAGATCCAAAAATTCTCAGATAAAAAAGTCAGACTCTTTTAATCTTTCGAAACTGCGAAGAATCTAAGAGACTTTCGACGGCAGCTCTCAAGGCTGTCGGATTATTTCTCTATTAATATGTTGCCGACATTTAAATCGTTATCGATTATGGGACTCGAGGCTCTCCCTCGTGGCTTGCGATCCATGTAATGTATACGATAATAATGGAGACGATAATATTTATCTCGGAGAGAAAGAAAGCCAAGGAATTCATGCGCGCGCGCCCTTGGCCGATATACATATATATATATATATATATATATATATATATATATATATATATATATAAAGGGTATTTCTTAATAAGTGCGAAAAATTTTAGGAGATGATTCTTTGTCGAAAATTAAGAGGGTTTTTTCATATAAACATATGCTCCTACATTTCTCCCTGTGTGCTGCACTCCTCCAAAAATGGGGGTAAAAATTAGGTTTTTATTTTTTCCTCAAAGTTGGAACAAGTTAAAAAAAATGAAATTAGGAGGATATTTTCTACTAGTAAAAAGGTTATTTATTAATATTTTTATATTTTTATTTAAAAAATATATTTTATATTTTTTAGCCTCCCGTATTGTTATAAAGGTATGAAACTAGCAACCCCCCCTCCCTTTCAATTTTTTATTAGATCTTTTTAATGTTTGTATAAAAACCCTCCTTAATTTTCGACAAAGAATCATCTCTTAAAATTGTTCGCACTTATTAAGAAACACCCTGTATATGTATGCGGCGTATCGATTTCAAAATCTGCTCCTGTCTTCTTCGTGTGAAAAAAGTCGCGTCGACCGAACCTCGATTGGCCAGATCGAGGCCTCATAGGTCCTCAACCATGGCCGCCTACTTGGACGGACGGTAGAGCGCGATGGGTGAAAGTCAAACTAATTACGGCGAGTACGCGAGCCGCTCCGCGTTGCAAAACCAAGCAACCGCTCGCGATTCGCACGTCTCGCCAACGAATATCGGACCGCTAAACCGGAACATATACACACTCCGTGTGTTGTGTGCGGCTTATCTCTTCTTTCGCCTAATCTCCCCCCCCCCTCCGCCCCCAGTAATCTCTGCGAATGCGGCCTGCGATCCCGCGTTTTCCTTTTTCTCCTTCCTCTAGCATCGTTCTCGCCGTGTAATAACTCTTACGTGTGCTCGAATCATTATACATTCGTTATACTTCCGGTGGTATGCAAATACCGTTAATCCATTTCAAGTTGTATAGATTCTCCGACTTAGAGCGAGAAAGAGAGAGGCGTGTGATACGTTATATATAAATGTATGTATCGAATATCACGAATTATCTGATCGTAAAAACGGGACACCTGTTCGGCAATGCGTTCCTCCGTCTCGTGCCCGATTTACCGGATAAATTTCACCGTACGAATTTCACCATACGCGCATAACATCGTTGAAACTTGCGAAAGCATCAGAAACTCTCAAACGTTGCGCTGCGATTCAGATGCTTTAATATAATATACGGGTAGATCTGCGTAGAAGATTTTGTCGTCTAAGAAATATGCCGCAAACATATCTATAATTCATTGAAAAATGTACTATCTTTATGTAAAAGAAATTGAAGGAAAACAATATGTACACATTTTTCACACGATGAGACTGTTCTATTTGATCACATTTGATCGCATGTGATAAAATGTTCATTTAATTACACTCGCTTTCATTCTACGTAATTAAGAAATCAAGAAATCTTAGAAGTCTACATCTACAAATGGCACAATTATCAACCGAGCGTTAAATTAATTTCGAGTAGCATGTAATTCTATACTTATCGAGATGTCAATTAACCTGCGGTAGGCTCGTCGGTAAAACTATTCAATCGATGCATCTTTGAATATCCGCTTACCTCGTACTATTTCATTGTATTGTTTTGTTTTGACTTTCTATTATACTTTTTAATTACGTCGCTATTTCCATGAAAGTCGGCGGCATCTCGAATTGATGAATTGGTCTGGTGAATTTATATTTTCTACAAGTTAATAATAATTATCATGCGATGTAGCGATCGGGGGAGAAATCTTAAAACGATCAATGGAGAGGATATATTTTGAGGGAGGATATATACGTCATGTTGAACTGATTTCATTTAGCGGTTTTGGTTTCAGGGTCGATTCTAGGAGTATCCTGTTTGATCACGTTGCGATTTACCACAGCCAATTATATCGATTTGTCCCTAGGGTAACCAGCAATGATTAACCAATCAGAGAGTCCTATTTTAAATTAGCCAATTGGTGATGTGGTCAATCGGGACCCTCTGTTGATTCTCAGCCAATTTCTCAGCATTATATCGAATTTTGAGTTTCGGCAAGAAAACCATCTTTTTTTCATCCATTTCTCATCGATCTTTAGCTAGTTTCTTCGACTCGTTCGAGATCGACCTGTTAAATTTCGGATCAGTGGAGCTCTTGTTCTTAATTGTGTCATCGACGACGGAAGAAGTTAATCCTAACATCGACAGAAGCCAGTTGAAGAAGCTGCCAGAAGACCCCGAAGTCGACCTGTTAAATTTTGGCTCAGTGGATTCCTCGTCCCTGATTTTCTCATCCACGACGAGAGAAGTCAATCCTAACATCGACAGAAGCCAGTTGAAGAAGCCGCCAGAAGACTCTTCCTTGTTCAGAGGAACACTGCTATCCTCGGTATCTGGCAAATAGGGAGCCAGACCGCCAAGGTCGTCGAGGAAACCCAAGTCGATCTCCTCCTCCTTGACCAACGGATTCCTTTCGTCAGTCGTACGGAAGATTTCATCTTGCACGACCCTGACGTAATTCCGTTCTTGGTGATCGTCATAATCGGTGCCGACCTCCGCGTTGATACGAGACATCTCCCGCTGTGAAACCTTGCTCACCTGCTGGCCTAAGGTCAAAGAAGTCTTATGAAATAATATTTTCACTCGGCAGCGTGATCTCCGCGCACGAAAAATATTTCTCTCTCACCTCTCGGTTTCTCCCCGCCGTCGTCCTCCTTTGTGGCCAATGGCCGAATTTCTAACGACCTTATCTTCAACCTCTGATACACAAAGGCGTCGCTAGGATTTTTTCTAAGGGGGGGGCATGATCCAAAATATTTTTTGAATAACATATATATATATATATATATATATATATATGTGTGTGTAATTTTAAATTAATACACCTCTTAGTTATAAAAGCTTTCTCACCGCGACAAGGTAGGTGCAAATCGAGAAAGGTATTTTTTTGTATTTTTTTTTTGTATTTTCCTTTGTATCCGAGGATTGGGTTTCTGACTGGTCACTTTCCTCTAATCTCGGTTTTTTAAAAAAGTTTCGTATATCCATATTGAAATATTTTATATTTTACAATAATAATGCCAACGAAAAAACGATGTTATATTAGTTATATAAACGGAGAGTACCGTACCTGAGACAAAGCGTCGCGCGCTTGTTTATGGCAATAAACAAGAAACAATTAATTTTTATAGTGGAATAGATTTACTGGGAAAATCACTCTAGAAAAAACGCGTCAGCAATAGTACCTCATAGGCGACGTGGAAATCTATTGAAACAATTTTTTATAGTGGAATAGGCCTACTGGATTATTATCGTTTTGAATTTGGATTTGATTTATTTGTGTTGTGATGTTGGTTCTTATTTATTTGTGATTTGGTTCTCAATTATTTCTCTGATTCAGGGGGGGGGGCAAATGCCCTATCTTGCCCCCCCCTGCCGACGCCTATGCTGATACATGTCGCTCTTCCATACCGGATACTTTCGTTGATTTGAGTTGGACGATAAGATATTCTTGGAATCCGGCATCGGATCCGATGTCCAAATTTTCATTCGAAGATGACTCTCGACAGTCGTCTCGTCGTCGTCTAATATCGGTTCCCTGGTTAAATAGATTGATTATACGGCGATACAGCCGAGGAGTAGTAATGACGTAATCTGAGGAAATGATAAGCATACTTTAATGCAAACGTTTCGTAAGACTCGCTTCTATCGCTTGGTATTCTCAGCGTTTCACTTTTAAATCAAAGGATGTATCTGAATTATTATTTTCAAATAATACTCGTAAATTACAAGCAAATACCTTGACGAATGCTGGAACATTACTGGTTCCATGAGTATGTTTACATACATATATGTATACATGTATATGTGTATAGATTCTAAACTTATTTCATTGCATTCTTTCGACACCACAAAAGCGAAAGCAGGCCAGAATCGACACGGTTCACCGATCTATGATGGACCATACCATACCATGGCACCTCGAAATATGCAAACATAATAGAAAATATGCGCTAGAGAAATAACATTGAGGAGACCGTAACCGCGAGTACGTGTATGTGTATGTTAGTTAAATTCAATAAATTTTTTAAGTGTTTAGAGACACGCACGCGTTACATGTATCCATTCACGTGCTTGCAAACGCTACGACTTGCACTTTTGCCGGCTTGACAATGAGAAACCATCTCTTATATAACAAAGATACCTTTCTCTGATATTACTTCTGTAATTGCTAGTAAAATTATATGAATGGATCGCTTCTCAAGCCGAAAGCGCTACACGGAAGGTCATTACTCATGTGCGAATGTGCTTCCGGTGTATTCCTTTGAACTTTGTGACATTAACGCGCTCGGTCAAGATTAACCGATGAGACGAGACTTGAAGTTTATTCATCGTGTATATAATATATGTATATATATATATATATACAGGATGGCCCTGAACATTACGGCTAGATTTTAAGATCTTATAGAAAATTTAATTCTGAACAAAAAATTTCTTATAAACATGGGTCGAAAAATGCTTCCTTAAGAAGTTATCGCTCAAAAACCTCTGATGAAGGAAGAGCAAAAGGTGAAAAGAAAATGAAACTAAATAAATTTCTTGAAAAAAAGGATAAAAATAAAAAATAAAAATCTTTTTTTTATGAAAATAAAATAATTTTTTTTTAAACAAATATTTTAATAGCACGTAATAGTAGAAAATGAATAAAGACTTTTTTCAAGAAATTTATTTAATTTCATTTTCTTTTTATTTTATTTTCTTTTCACTTTTTGCTCTTCCTTCATCAGAGGTTTTCGAGCGATAACTTCTTAAGGAAGCATTTTTCGACCCATGTTTATAGGAAATTTTTTGTTCAGATTTAAATTTCCTATAAGATCTCAAAGTCTGACTGGAACGTTCGGGGCCACTCTGTATATATATGTATATGAACAGCTGCCTCGGGTCGCTTCAATTAGAATGTAACGTGGAACGAGCTTCCGAAAAGTTAAAACCACATACACATATACACTTCCGTGTGTAAAATCTCGCTTCTATAAGTGGGATCATAAGAACTCGTCAGCAAAAAGCATGTACGTCGATCTCCATACTGACAGTTATGACTCATTAGGCCTGGTAGAATCTAATTACGCTACGCGATTAGCGTAGCGAGGCGAGCGCTCGAGGAGAAAATAACTTCTCGTCGACGGGTCTGCGTAAAACGTTACGTGTCTTCGTCGCCACGACACGTTTTTCTCGCGATTCACAATCAACGATCAAAAGAAAAAAGGTATCACGAAAACTTTACGAATTAATTATCTGTAAAATATTATCATGAAAAATTTACAATATATATATATAATATATATATATATATATATATATATTAAAATATATATATATTAAATATATATATATATTAAAAATTAATAATATATATATATATATATATATAATATTTAATACATATATTAAAAATTTAAATATATATATTAAATTATATATATATATATATATATATATATATATATATATATATATATATATTAAAATGCTGACTGACACACTCGCCTTTATCTGCATCTCAAAAAACATGTTTCCGCGATGTTTCAGTTTACATTAGCTCCTGATCGGGTCATCGACTGACTGGCTAACGGAAAAATCATCTCGAGAGACCTTCCACTCCTTTGATTAGATCTTGTTTCCATTATTTTGGAGCTTTCCAAAGCGCTTCTAAAGGACTTGTCTCTATCGTTGTCTTCCTTTTTCCCGCGAAAAAAAATACTTTCTTTGGAATTCCAATCGTTTACCACGGCGAGCCATCACGGAATGCCTAATACCTTCTCTGCCGCCTTAGATTTACGAGCCATGACTTTCACTCGGAATACGAGCACCCTATTACGAGCAATAACGGACAGAATGTATTAAGTATAAGAAGTTATCCATCATATCGTCAAGTATTGTGATTATACGTACATGTAACTATACAACTCTCGCATCAGGCGATTTTTACAAGTATACGTTAATTCTCTACTATGTGCTTTTATTTTTAAATAAAATGAAACAATGAAATAGAATTCTCAACAAATTATTTCAATAGTCCTTTAATCCTCGATGAGAGAGATCCGCCCGTTTAAAATATTGCGTGTAGAAAATTGCGTATATGACACGCGCATGTTTATATCTTAAAACAGTGATAATAATAATTATTGTGCGAATGTCTTAACCCATACAGCACAAAAAGGCCAAAAGACGTCTTAAAGATGTCTAAAGGACTTTAAGACGTCTTTAAGTAGTCTTTTAGATGTCTTTTGGACATGTGTGCTGTCTGGGAACTGAGGCATACAAAGAAAGTCGCAAAGAGGATGATACATAAAATTAGAGTTGATTTATGTAAAATAATAATTATCACTATAATAATAATAAAATGACATATTATATAATAATTAAATATATAATAATAAAAATAAATATATACATGTAATAAAAATTGTATATTTAATAATAATAATTATTATTATTATTTAATTATAATTATAATTAAAATAATAATTTTTATTATTGTAAATTATAATAATAATTATTATTATAACTTATAATTATATAATAATATAAATAATATAATTATAATGTGATAATATAATTTAATAATAATATAATATAATAACATAATTTTTATAAAAATATTTATAATGATATTTATTGTGTAATTTATTTGTCATCTGTGCAACAATTCATTGATTGATTGATACAAATGTATACAAGAGAAAATGTATCAGCTCTCGCAAGAAGATATTTCGATATATCGATTATCATTTAAAAAGAGTCACATTGATGCGAAAATTTCATTTTCGTCTATAAAGAATAAACTTGTTTTGAACAACTGAATTCATATCTTCTGTAAAAATTATTACAATCAAATTAGTTTTTATTATTTATTCATGAGAAAAAAAATGAGAAAAAAGTTCTCAAAGGATTTTCCACGGTCAATAATTTTATTTTCGATAAAAACAATTAACGATGCGCATATTAATATTACAACCCTATATATATATAGGGTGTCCCATGTAACCTGACAAATCGAAATAACTTAAAAAATACGCATTTTACGACATAATATCCAAAATAAAAGTTGTTTCTGTCGAAGAGGGCCGTCGAATGATACCAAAATCGACCTCGCCCCCGCTTCCCTGGGGGTGGGGGGCAACTTTTCTCTCAAACGGGAATCTCCATTTTTATTGCATATTCTTGTAGCTTATCTCGAGAGCTTTCCAAAACACTATAATTAAGTACCTTTTCATTAAGCACTTTTTGAGTTATAACGCTTGAAATAATTTCTTAATTTTACATAAACCATAAAATATGTAGTAAATCATTCATTTTTCGATTATCTTACCTTAATACTTTTATACAACATAATAATTAAGTAACGAGCACTAAGAGCCCAACAAACGCGGATGGCAATGCGTAAATTTTTACGAACATTAATTGTTCGCGAATTTTTTTTTTTTTTTTTTTTTTTTTAAGACATATGCACATATGCCAAGTTATAGATTCTCTTGGTTTGAGACTTCTATAACAATCCCTTTACCCCCCTGGAGAGATGTAGACAGGAAAAATACCGGGGCGAAGTCGCTGAATCGGGAATCGAACCCGAGTCTTTCGCTTGCCGGGCGACTGCTCTTACCACTGAGCTATTCAGCCCCACACCGATACTTCTCCTGTACGTTTTTATTAATCGGTGGAAATAATGAGAACACGATAATTAGCTCGACGTGTAATTCTAAATAAATTGGTATATAATTCGGCTCTATGTATTTAAACAACATAATAATTAAGTAACGAGCACTAAGAGCCCAACAAACGCGGATGGCAATGCGTAAATTTTTACGAACATTAATTGTTCGCGAAAATTTAAAAAAAAAAAAAAAAAAAAAAAATTTCGCGAACAATTAATGTTCGTAAAAATTTACGCATTGCCATCCGCGTTTGTTGGGCTCTTAGTGCTCGTTACTTAATTATTATGTTGTTTAAATACATAGAGCCGAATTATATACCAATTTATTTAATACTTTTATGTACAAAATAATGAGAGGAATCAATTGGTGTAAAGAAAACATACAGTTGTTTTTAAGAAAAAATATGGAATTGTTAATTGCAAATTACATATTTTTTCTTCGAAATAATTATTTGTTTTCTTTACAGCAATTGATTCCTCTCATTATTTTGTACATAAAAGTATTAAGGTAGGACAATCGAAAAATGAATATTTTACTAGATATTTTATGGTTTATGTAAAATTAAAAAATGATTTCAAGCCTTATAACTCGAAAAGTACTCAATGAAGAAATACTTTATTATAGTGTTTTGAAAAGCTCTCGAGATGAGCTACAAGAATAAATAATAAAAAATAGGGGGTTCCATTAAAAAAATTGAAGGTGGCCTTCATGTGACCTTCAAACAACTTTTCAAGATAAAACCAATGATACCATCTTATGTCTCCCTTCAAGTCATACAACTTTTGTCTGAAACATTTTTTCCTACAATCAAAATTAAAAAAGTTATTCGGGGTCATCGATTAAAATGGGACACCCTGTATATACAGGGTGTCCTAGACCACGCGTACATCCCTTTTCTTTCAAAAACTAAGTATTTTAGAGAAAAACGTTTTGGACAAAAATTGTATGGTTTTGAGGGAAACATAAGATGGTGTCATTGGTTTGACCTTGGATGGCATCGTTAAGATCAGGTTAAAGACACCTTTAATTTTTTAAATGGAACCACCTATTTTCCATTGCATATTCTTGTAGTTTACCTCGAGAGCTTTCCAAAACACTATAATAAATTATTTTTCCATGAAGTACTTTTCGAATTATGAGGCTTGAAGTCATTTCTTAATTTTATATAAACCATAAAATATCTTGTAAAATAGTCATTTTTCGATTATCTTACCTTAATATTTTTATGTACAAAATAATGAGAGGAATCAATTGGTGTAAAGAAAACACACAGTTATTTCGAAGAAAAAATATGTAATTTGCAATTAACAATTAAATATTTTTTCTTAAAAGTAACTATGTGTTTTCTTTATACCAATTGATTCTTCTTATTATTTTGTACATAAATTATTAAAATAAGATAATCGAAAAATGAATATTTTATAAGATATTTTATGATTTATGTAAAATTAAGAAATGATTTCAAGCCTTATAACTCGAAAAGTACTTGATGAAAAAATATTTTATTATAGTGTTTTGGAAAGCTCTCGACATAAGCTATAAGAATATGCAATAAAAAATAGGTGGTTCCATTTAACAAATTAAAGGTGTCGTTGACCTGACCTTAACGATGCCATCCAAGGTCAAACCAATGACATCATCTTATGTTTCCTCAAAACCATACAATTTTTGTCCAAAACGTTTTTCTCTAAAATGTTTAGTTTTTGAAAGAAAAGGGGCGTACGGGTGGTCTAGGACACCCTGTATATACACATATATGTATATATATATATATATATATATATATATATATATATATATCATAATCCTGTGAATGTTACATTAATAAAAAAGTATCATAAGGTTGCAGGTATATGTCATGTATGCTAATTAGTACCTGTTATCGCTATTATCAGCTTCCTCTCGTAAAGGTCTCCGTAAGGCTCTATAAATATGAGTATTTTCGTCCGCCATTTTTCTTCCAACTGCATGAAAGGTTAGATGTTTTCATATATGTCAATACGCATTGATTGTACATATACATACGCTTTTCGATCTCGCGATTAATCTAAAAATTAATTTTAAATATCGATTCTGTTAAACTGAAAATAGGTATTAATTGATTCTTAATTAATTAACATGTGTTCTTAAACGCGCAAGTAGAAAGTATCATAGTTTTCATAAATCAACATATCGTGTCTCCGTTTCATTGCATGTTTTTGAAGCAACACATATTTAGAACAATTTCAAGGATTAAAGACATGTTATTTATAATACTCGTCGCAAAAATTGTCTTTATGTTGCAGTTTTGTCATATTTTCACATATTTGTATTTTTAAGTTAAGTTTTGGCTATTTGTAAATTACATTTTGTAAATTAAATTACATATTGCATTTTGAAAGCACCATTAGAACTTTTGCGACGATGAAACGAAAACACGATGTGTTTATAACTTCGAGACTATAAAGGTTGTTGATGTTTGATGTATACAAAACATACCTAACCTTCACATATGATTGGAAGAAAAATGGCGGACAGAATATTCGTATTGAGTTGATCGACAGTCAACGTTTTCTGAAAAAAATTCTTTATGGAATCGTTTGTATTTCGTATGAAGATGTTTGAAGTGCAATTAAAAAGATTTATGCATCATCTGTATAATTTTAATTAATTAATATTTTTTTTTATTATATAATTAGCCAGTATAGATAAATATAAAAAAATATTTTTACATAAAATCGTTTGTATTTCGTTTGAAGAGTTTTGAAGTGTAATTGAAAGTGTAATTTCCGGTTCACAGTCTAAAAATATTTAATTACAATTAATCTAATAACTTACAAACCTTTTACACTTCAAAACTCCTCAAACGAAATACAAACGGATTTATGTAAAAATTTTTTTATATTTATCTATGTCGGCTAATTACATAATAAAAAAAATAATAATTAAAATTATACGGATGACTCACAAATCCTTTTAATTGCACTTCAAACATCTTCATATGAAATACAAATGATTCCATAAGGCCGGGTCTACAATAGGTTTTAATTTAAGCCTTAAGTCTTAAGAGATTGACCAATCACAGTCAAGTATGAAGAGAATACTCGACTGTGATTGGTCAAATTCTTAAGGCTTAGGGCTTAAATTACCTATTGTAGATCCGGCCTAAAGAATTTTTTTTCAGAAAACGATGACTGTCGGTCAACTCAATACGAATGACGAGAATACTTACTTTTTTAATGCTCTAGTCTCCGTCTACTCAAGTTTCATGTCTAGTTTTAAGTCTATGGTCCAGAGCGAATTTCAGCTGAAGGAAAGACCGATCAAAATGGCGGCGTACTTGGCAGTTGTCTGTTGTACATAATAGGTTATCGTAGTGGTGCCCCTATATGTGACGGATAATCCTCGCGAATCCCACGAGAAGCCAGCGTAAAAGTCGCCGAGAGTGATATTATGATCATCGCCAGATAAAATTCGTATACACGGCGCGTTTTAACCTCCCGTAAATCTTACGCATCCGAAAGATAATGGCCGAAAATGTCGCCGCAAGCGACGACGAGCTCCTGAAAAACATCAAAACGCTCCTTTGGGGTTCGACCGTCAAGGAGGACATTTTTAAGCGATGGGCGCAAGGTAGCGAGGAATATTATTCTGGACGATTGAGTTTCTCGGAGGCAGATAAAATCGCGCATACGTCATGTTACATCGGTGTAATGGCCGATGAGCAGTGACATTTGTAATCATTTTCACTGAAGAAGGCTTGGGAATTCGCTTCTCACGATATCCTCCCCTGTTATTCCGCAATCTCTTTCAAGACTCTTTACAACCCTGTGAAATTGATCAATTTGATAATTTAATACTCGAATAACGTTTACGAGATACGCACGTGTGCTTTACATGATATAAAATCACATTATAAAACTCATAATGAAATATTTTGAACTTACATCGTTATTATTTTCTAGAGTAACTATCTAATAATTATCGTTTTTTACAGGCTTTCATTTCAGTATAGATGAACCTACCGCACTTGTACAGAGAGAAGGAGGGCCTTGCGCCGTCATAGCCTCGGTTCAGGCATTTATCTTGAAACAGTTGCTATTGGAAAGCGATGTCGTAATTTGGAAGACTATCCAGGCGAAAAAGTGTGATCAGTTACTTGTGAAAGCTATGATTGAAATTATAAATCAAGCCGTCAATGTTCGAGATCCCAAGTATTCGATAGTATATGCCAATGATTCCAATGATTTTGCATCTGATAAAGAAAGTTCCGATACTAAATTGACGGAAACCGCAATAAATTCAGACCAAGATACTAGCAAAGTTAATCAAATTAGTGAAACACAGGCTACAAAACAAGAGTCATTGGAATCAGAAGTTTTTCATTCTCAATTGAGGTACGTTCATGCCAGAAGATATACAGAGTGTCCCAAAAGTCCCGGACCGGTCGAATATTTCATAAACTATGCACTTTAGAAAGAAATGTTTCAGACAAAAGTTGTATGGCTTGAAGGGGGTCATTAGATAGTGGCAATGATTCGACATGGGAGAGTCATTTGAAAGTCACGTGAAGATCACCGTCAATTTCTTAAATGGAACCCCCTATTTTTTATTACATATTCGTGTAGCTTATTTCGAGAGCTTTTCAAAACACTATAATAAAGTATTTCTTCATTGAGTACTTTTCGAGTTATGAGGCTTGAAATAATTTCTTAATTTTGCATAAACCATAAAATACCTAATAAAATTCATTTTTCGATTATCTTACCTTAATACTTTTATGTACAAAATAATGAGAGGAATCAACTGGTGTAAAGAAAACACATTGTTTAAAAAAAAATATGTAATTGTTAATTGCAAATTACATATTTTTTCCTTAAAAACAACTATGTTTTTTCTTTACACCAATTGATTCCTCTCATTATTTTGTACATAAAATTATTAAGGTAAGATAATCGAAAAATGAATATTTTACAAGATATTTTACGGTTTATGTAAAATTAAGAAATGATTTCAAACCTCATAACTCGAAAAATACTTAATGAAGAAATACTTTATTATAGTGTTTTGGAAAGCTCTCGACGTGAGCTACCAGAATATTTAATAAAAAATAGGAGGTTCCATTTAAGAAATTGACGGTGATCTTCACGTGACTTTCAAATGACTCTCCCATGTCAAATCATTGCCACTATCAAGCCATACAACTTTTGTCTGAAACATTTCTTTCTAAAGTACTTTCTAAAGTATAGTTTATGAAATATTTGACCGGTCCGGTACTTTTGGGACACCCTGTATATATTTTGAACTAATGCTGGAGCTTTTCTTTCTAATACTTAATGCTGAAAATTTTATTTCTTATTATTAATTATATTTTATTTATTATCTTTCAGGATATTTATTACAAGGAGCATCGATGATGTGGAGGATTTCTTTACAGAACGAATTGGAATGTTGAAAGATCAGTATGGCGTATTGTTGCTACTTTACACCGTGATGTGTACAAAAGGAGCTTCAGAAATATGTCTTGAAATGTTGGAGCCCATAGAACCCATGATTGACTCCACCTATGGATATGGAAGTCAAAATTTAATAAATTTAATGCTGACTGGTCGAGCAGTTAGTCATGTTTGGGATCACGATCAGGACATCAGTGGATTAAGTGAGATAGCTTTATTTTATTTTTTTTTTTTTTAAACACAATACAACTATTCATATCTCACAATTCCATGTATTTTTTTTATATGTATTACGCACGTAAAATCTTTTTTCTACATTAATACATTAATACATTACATATTAAATGTTTTGCAGAATTACGTGGGATAGATAAACAGAATAAAGTGGGATTTTTGACTCTATTGGAACACTTACGTTATTGCGAAGTGGGAACATTTCTAAAGTCACCCTCGCATCCGATTTGGGTGGTGGGATCGGACACGCATTTAACCGTGCTGTTCTCGACAGAAAAGCGATTAGTGAGTCCAGAAACACCGGCAGAGCAGGCGCGAAGAATTTTCAAACGCTTCGATCCAGAAGGAAATAATTTTATCGCGGCGAATCAACTGCAGAATGTAATGGCGGAATTAGGGCTGGTGACTGATGCAGAATAGTACGTTTTCTTGTTTCCTCTTTACATTTATATTGTTACTGCATTGATTTAAAACTACATAAAAGATAAAAGTATGTAACTTGTATTAAATTTGACTGTCAAAATATTTTCATTGAACACTGAAATATTTTTGCAGTGTCAATATCATAAGAAGAAAACTGGATAGTGAAAATCTAGGAATAATTCTTCTCGCATTGTTTATGGATGAATTTTTCCCCGAAGAACCATGTATGTGTCCAGATACATTCGTCTTGTATCACTACAATGGTCTGCAACGTAGCAATCCGGAAAATAGAGTGAAGTACCACATGGGACAAGCGGTATTACTCGAGTGCACTGTGAAGTGTATCATGGATAGCAATCCAATGCTGACAGTCCTGCAGACAAAGTGGCCAAGGATTGAGATACAGTGGGACATAGGACGGAATCCTAGTTTAAATTAGAATTTATAAACTGTAATATATATACAGGGTGTATCAGTCCACCCGTGCCAGCCGAATATCTCAAAAACTGAGAACGACAAAAATGTTTCTTACAAAAGTTGTAGGGTTTCGAGTAACGCATTACATAGTAATATTAGTATGACCTTGAATAGCGTTGTCAAGGTCACGTAAAGATCACCTTCAATTTCTTCAATGGAATCCCCCATTTTTCATTACATATCCTTGTAGCTTATTTCGAGAGTTTTCCAAAACTATAATAAAGTATTTCTTCATTGAGTACTTTTCGAGTATGAGGCTTGAAATCATTTCTTAATTTTGCATAAAAAAACCATAAAATATCTAGTAAAATATTCATTTTTTAATTATCTTACCTTAATACGTTTATGTACGAAATAATGAGAGGAATCGATTGGTGTAAGAAAAAATATGTAATTTGCAATTAACAATTACATATTTTTTCTCAAAAACAACTACATGTTTTCTTTAAACCAATCGATTCCTTTCATTATTTTGTACATAAAAGTATTAAGGTAAGATAATCGAAAAATGAATATACTAGATATTTTATGGTTTATGTAAAATTAAGAAATTATTTTAAGCCTTATAACTCGAAAAGTACTCAATGAAGAAATACTTTATTATAGTGTTTCGGAAAGCTCTCGAAATAAGCTACAAGGATATGTAATAAAAAATGGGGGATTTCATTGAAGAAATTGAAGGTGATCTTTACATGACCTTGACAACGCTATTCAAGGTCATACTAATATTGCTGTGTAATGCGTTACTCGAAACTCTACAACTTTTGTAAGAAACATTTTTGTCTGCCGTTCTCGATTTTTGAGATATTCGGCTGGCACGGATGGTCTGATACACTCTGTGTATATATATATATATATATATATATATATATATATATATATATATATATATATATATATATAAACACATACATATACATACATGGAACACAAACACAATAGAGCCGAACGTATAGAATGACTTGACCGAGCGCTTCTATAGAATATCATTGAGAGAAAGAGAGAGAGAGAAAATTACCATTTTAAGAGCGCTTCTATAGAATATCGTTGAGAGAAAGAGAATTACCACTTTAAGCCCGTAGTCTAGTCAAATCGGCCATCCTCTGATTCGTATTGGTGAATATTATAAAGAATATTGATTATACACCTGCCAATATAAAATATTATTTATTTCCACGGAAATATAATAGTATTTGTAACACATATGGTCAAAGTAAAAATTTATTAAAAGTATTTTATGCCATTTAATGTCAAAATATTGCACTGCACTGTCTGTGTCAATGAAATTGAGATTTTATTTTTATGAGAATATTTATTATGTATTATCAAAACTACAATCTCTATTTCTCTAGTTATACTTTATAAGGGAAAATACTTTAATGAAATTTTTCGACCCAGTAGAATTCAATGATGGTCGACTGCTTATTATAATGACACCAGACAAGGTTCTCAAAAGATTAGACAGGTTTCTCAAAAAAAATTCTACTTATTCGTGCTGTTTACTTCATAAGAAAGTTATTCGTTACATTTTACAAAAATAGTTTCTAGGCGAGCTTAAATAAAATTCATTTTGTTGTGTAATTATGATAGATAAAATATACAATATTATATAATATATATAATTATATATATTATATAAAAAAAATATGACGCGCTATCATTTTTAAATTCTGCGTGCGCTATTATTTTATAATTCTTGCCATAAATATGATTCGTGCTTTAAGAAAAGCGCCTTTTCAATTAAATTATTAAATTTCAAGTATTTTTTTCTAATTGATAGCAAGCAATATATAGCTATGAATTCTATAAAAATTAACATGTGAGATATAAATTAGGGCGCTTTTTTGAGATATTATTTAATAATTTTATTTAATCAATGTTTATTTTATATAACTATTGCAAAAATGCAGCAATGTTAAATAAACTTACTACTTTTGATTAAAAATAGCTATTGCAATCTTACTTTGTTTTGCAATAATTGAAATCCAATTTAAGGTAAAGATTTTTTAACAATTACATATAAATCGTCTATTATTCTTCAATTATAAACATTATTTTAAATCATTCTTTGACACACTAAAACAGATTAATTAATTTTATATGCTTACAATTTTATAGTTATATTTAAATTTTTATATTTAAATTTACTATTATTAAATTAATTACTTCAATCATACATAATATTTATTATATTCATCATATTTACATTATATAAATCAGGCACGATCTATATTTGCACTATTTGCAACTAGTATATAGAATGGTCTTATACAATATGTCTTATACTATTATAAAGATTTTTATTTCCTAAATTTTAAGATATGTATACATTTTAATCACTTGCATCATCAACTTGATTATCATCACCACCACTTCCTGCAGAAGTTTCAGAATTAGATTCTTCATCGGAATCTTTAAGTGCCTTTCCTTTAATATTCTTTTTGGGCCTATGTGTTTCAATATCCGATCCTTCCTCATCCGAAGAATAAATGTTTGAAGCTGTAGAGACAATATTTTTTAAATATCATAAAAGAATTATTGCACGACATTGCTTTTAATATAAGAATAAATAAATCTAATATAATTTTATATAAGAGATAAATGTAAGAGAGAAAAAAAAAATTTTTTTTAAGTTATTCATTTTAATGTAATATACAGAACTGACCTTTAGAAGGAATTGCTGCGATTCCTTTTTTATACTTATTTTTTATAGCTGCCAATGAAATTGCGCCCTCGTCATCGGAACCATCATCATGATAAGCATCGCCACTATATGCTCCTGTGGTACGATTAGTGTTCCGAATACCACTAGTACTCTTCTTTGTTTTATTTTGGACTCGCATCGCCATACGTAATTTTTCTTCTTCTTTCTAAAACGAAAAAAAAGATACAATGACATATTGAAGCAAGAGCATAGAAAAATCAATTTAACAGATATTATACAGGGTGGCCCCGAACGTTCCAGCCAGACTTTGAGATCTTAGAGGAAATTTAATTCTGAACAAAAAATTTCCGATAAACATGAGTCGAAAAATGCCTCTTTAAGAAGTTATTGTTCCTCTGAAAAACCTCTGATGAAGGAAGAACAAAGGTAAAGGTAAAAAGAAAATGAAATAAAAAGAAAATAAAACTAAATAAATTTCATGAAAAAGACGATAAAAATAAAAAATAAAAAAATCTTTTTCTTTTATAAAAATAAATTTTTTTTTAACTAACTTATTTTATTTTCATAAAAGAAAATTTTTCTTTATTTTTTCTTTTTTTCTTTAAATTTATGATATGTAACGGATTATACTTTTAAATTAAAGCTTTGTTTTGTATGTTTAGATGTAGGTTTGTTTTGAAAGAATATATTTGCTCTTAAAATGCTATTACATTAACATTATACAGGGTGTCCCAAAAGTCCCGGACCGGTCGAATATTTCATAAACTATGCACTTTAGAAAGAAATGTTTCAGACAAAAGTTGTATGGCTTGAAGAGGGCCATCAGATAGTGGCAATGATTTGACATGGGAGTCATTTGAAAGTCACGTGAAGATCACCGTCAATTTCTTAAATGGAACTCCCTATTTTTATTACATATTCGTGTAGCTTATCTCGAGAGCTTTTCAAAACACTATAATAAAGTATTTTTTCATTGAGTATTTTTCGAGTTATGAGGCTTGAAATCATTTCTTAATTTTACATAAACCGTAAAATATCTTGTAAAATATTCATTTTTCGATTATCTTACCTTAATAATTTTATGTACAAAATAATGAGAGGAATCAATTGGTGTAAAGAAAACACATAGTTGTTTAAAAAAAAAAATGTAATTGTTAATTGCAAATTACATATTTTTTCCTTAAAAACAACTATGTTTTTTCTTTACACCAATTGATTCCTCTCATTATTTTGTACATAAAATTATTGAGGTAAGATAATCGAAAAATGAATTTTACTAGATATTTTATGGTTTATGCAAAATTAAGAAATGATTTCGAGCCTCATAACTCGAAAAATACTCAATGAAGAAATACTTTTTTATAGTGTTTTGGAAAGCACTCGAGATAAGCTACACGAATATGTAATAAAAAATAGAGGGTTAAGAAATTGACGGTGATCTTCACGTGACTTTCAAATGACTCTCCCATGTCAAATCATTGCCACTATCTGATGGCCCCCTTCAAGCCATACAACTTTTGTCTGAAACATTTCTTTCTAAACTGCATAGTTTATGAAATATTCGACCGGTCCGGGACTTTTGGAACACTCTGTATAAAAGAAAAAGATTTTTATTTTTATCGTTTTTTTCTAGAAATTTATTTAGTTTCATTTTCTTTTTATTTCATTTTCTTTTCACTTTTTGCTCTTCCTTCATCAGAGGTTTTTCAGAGGAGCGATAACTTCTTAAGGAAGCATTTTTCGACCCATGTTTATAGGAAATTTTTTGTTCAGAATTAAATTTCCTATAAGATCTGAAAGTCTGGCTGGAACGTTCGGGGCCACCCTGTATAAAGAAATTGTCATACCTTTATCATCTCGTATCTGTTCTGATCTGGATTCATTCCTACTTGAGAAAGAACTTTGATGCCGGAGGTCTTTTGTGATCTATCAGCCAAAGACATAGTCATCTTCCTATGCGTGAATGATTCGGTAGAGTGTGGTCGGAAAGTTAATTTTGTTCTAAACACTGCTTGGCCTTGTAAACCGGTACCTTGACGAATGTAGAGATGGTTGTGATCGCCCTGTAAAGGCTGCTTGTACACATCGAAGATTTCCGAACCCAGATGTAACGACATGCTGCCGTCTGACCATTTAACGAATCTTGCGTTGCTCTCTTTCACTACTTTACCGTCATCGTTAAATGTTTCTTTCCATCTCAATGTATTTTCAACTTTTAACTTCAATCGCGCTCGGCCCTCCTCATCCAGAGTTTCCTCCTCGTCAATTTCATCCTCGTACGTTTCATGATCAAACGGTCGTGTTTCAACGGACAAGAAATTCGGCAACTTTACAAAGTGAATTTCTCGTCCGAGATCAGTAGTAATTTTCGGAATTTCTACATCGATTCTAGTTTCTGGAGGTGGCTCTGGTTCTTCTTCTTTATCTTTATCCTCTTCCTACACATAGAATATGTTTAATGTTAAAACATTGGCGGTTCTCGTCAAATTTCGCTTTTCTCGCTTTGAATTAAAAATAAGTCGCGAAAGCCTGAAAGCACATTAATGTAAAGATTATATGCCTGTCTTGTTAACTTACATCTTCGATGATGGCGCGATGACTTGGACCTTCTCCACCGCTCTCGGATTTGCCACGACTATGACTTCTACTTCTACTTCTGCTTTTGCTTCTGCTTCTACTTCTGCTTTTGCTTCTACTTCTACTACGACTTTTGCTTCTACTCCTACTTCGACTATGGCTCCGTTCCTTGTCCCTCTCTTCTTCCTTCTTGTCCTTCTCATCATCTGTGCTAATGTCACTTGCATCACCGAATAATGCGTCCGCGGTTGGAGCAACGCTATTCTCTTTATCTGCCGTCTCGTTATCAGAATCTGAGTCTATTATCGTTTTAATTCGTTTAACAGTTTTTTCCGTATCTGAACCAGAACCGCTGTTTTGTCGTTTAACTTTTGATCGTTCTTCATCGCTCTCATCAGACTTTGGACTGCGATCTAAGCAAGGAGAGAAAGTTTCATAACATTAGATACAGTCCAAATATATTTTTTAACTTATTGCCAAGTTTCACAAGAAAGAAACATATTTTAAATATATTGACTAATAAAATAAAACAAATGCAAACCTGTTTGTTTAAAGGATCTGTTCGATTCGTTATCGCTTTTATCATTTTTTGGACTTTTGGATCTCGACCTCTTGCCGTCAGATTTTTCAGAACCTGCTCTTTCCGCGGACTCGTCAAACTTTCTCGACGACGCGGAAGAATTCGAGCGCCTTTCTGCTGGACTCGCGGAACCCACTGACTTGTTACTCCTTTGCGAGGAAACGCTTCTAGATCGTCTACTTTTTGGTGAATCCGATGCATTGGATACAGGAGAAGCTGGAGTCTTGGATTTCCTCTCCGCCGAATGGGCAGATCTCGAGCTGATGGGTGACTTCGGACTAGAGGAACGTACGCTACCGCGCGGAGACGGCGAGCGCGACCTCGGTGACCTGGGTGACTTCTGAGAGTCTATCGAACTGTTGGAGGCCACTGACTTTGGGCTGCCGCTCCTGGATCTCGCAGAACCGGATTTCTCGCTCTGAACTGAACCGACACTCGAACGTCTTGAGCCTGAGCCCGCTGAAGGGCTCTCCGACTTGCGACTACCATCCAGCTTGTTCGACTCGACGGTGGATCTCGACGCGCGGCTGGCATTCGACGTGGGCGACGCGGGCGCGTCATTCTCGTCCTCGGAGCGCTCGCTCCTAGCGTTGCTCGACGTCTGTCTCGGAGCCTGCGACGCTCGACTATCGCTACGACTTGATCTCGAGGAGGCAGAGGCATTGTCGGATTCTGATCCTGAAAAACAGAATCAGGATTTATAGATTTCTCGTCAGATTTTGAACCTTGATCTAAGTAAGAAGGAAAATTTCACGATATTAGATATAGTACAAAGATAACACGTTTAATTTTTATTGCAAAGTTTCCCAGAAGGAAACATTTTGGTCCATATTCTGAATCCTCTTTTATCGATAAAAGGGCCTCTAAAAGTGGCTTATAGCCAATCAAAAGGCTTATAAGGAGCACTTTTATCGATAAAAGAGAATTCGGAATATGGACCTTTAAATATAACGATTAAGAAAATAAAACAAATGCGATCAGAATATCGTTTATAGACATAACCTCAAAAATTGCTGAAATTACTTTGCTTGTGACATTCGTGTCATATACATTATTAATTTCATAGAATTGCAAAGAAACACACAACGTAAATGAAAATCCATCAACATTTACGTACCAGAATCACCGCTGGAATCGCGCAAGTTCTGCCGCATCGGCGACATGTTTACCTGCTTGAAGCACAGTATAGGTTTGTTCGCGTCGCATACTCCAATGTACTCCAGAGAGCACTTGGATCACAGGTTAGATGGCGGTTAGAGCAGATGAGTTCATGTGCACCAACGTTTGATGACACGAACGGACTTGAGGCACTTCGTTTTCTTTTTTTTCAACCAATCGCGCATTACAGTATTATGGCCGGTATTCATAGTCCGATCTTATATTTGAGATCGTCTTAAGTTCGAGCTTGAAATGCTACGCAGCTATTTGATTTGGGAAAGTTGCTTTTTTGTAATTTAAATAAATTTATGCATTCAAAATAATGCATTATGGATGCGACATAAAGGATTCAACCAATCAGAGTTCTTTACGTGCGTTGGCCTTTATGGACAGCCGCCATCTTACCCGGCAATTTGCCTCCAAGGGTGGGAAATTCAAATGAGTTTGACTAAAATTACGTTAACATAAATTTACATTAATTTTTTGTTATTAATAATAGAATCAGTATTAAACGATGAAATAAATAATAAAATTATTCAAAATATTACAAGATTTTATATTTAATAAGACAATAATTCTTTATTCAATAAAAATTTATATTATGTTTAAATTGCAATAAACTTATAATGATTCGAGGAATTTTTAAATGTTTTTTTTTTATTTATAATTTCTTAAATCTTATTTTCTATTCGTTATATAAATAAAATATTTACAAGTGTAGAGAATGTTATCCATTGATTATAAAAAAACTTAAAATTAAGAAATTGATATTGTTATGTGCAATATAAAAAACTTAAATAATCACAAATTATGCCTTGATATCACTAGAAGATCACTTTGTACAGCTCAAACTGTTGGTCATTTGAAGTTGAGGGATAACAGTTACCTGAGAAATAAATCAATTATGAGTTTCTTTTTTATATCGATGTATAAATAATTTGTGAAGAGTGAAAGATGATGGCAAAAAAAGAAGAAAAAAAGACAATTTTTGAAAAGAAAAATAGAACTTTTTTATTTCTAAAACAAATTTAAATTCTGGACATAAAAATGCAAATAATAAAAGCAAATAATTTCAGAATATATATATATATATATATATATATATATATATATATATATATATAATATTAAAATAAATTGATGTTTTCAACAATTATATATATATATATATATATATATATATATATATATATATAATTAATGAAAACATCAATTTATTTTCTCCGTTTCACAACGTTGAAATGTTCGTCAAAAGTTCTTCGATTCGCGATCTCCATATATGTTCGTTTTTTATTTTTAACGGAGCTTTGTATCCTTGACCATAAGGATTACGAGAATTTAAGAAATCGAATAAAATATCAATCGAACGGATAAATTCAATCGTTGCTTCACAACCTTCGAACTCTGGTAACTGAAGTTCTTTTAAGCAAAACTCTAACGCGTCGGTAACACTCTGACTCAGAGTTTGAGCCGCTAAATTTACTTTCATTTTCATTTTATAATAGTCAATATGTCTTAAACGTAATTTGTTACCAGCACGTAAACTTTCTGCCTCTTGTAATTTTGCTAATTGCACAATGTATCTCCATTCAATTTTATTTCCTTTATTATCCAGTAAAATTTTCCCTTCATCAAATGCATTTACGAATCAATTTAAGCATGTGACAAGCGTCAAAAATTACGTATATAGGTTTAGAAGTTATTGAATGGGAGAAATAAGGCTATATTTTATTTTCAGAAAAAACTGTACCCAATTTTCGAAGAACGGGATTCGATTACCCACGTCGCCAATTGGCCAATTCAAAATAGGATTCTCTGATTGGTTAATCGTTGCTGGTTACCATAGGCACAGGTCGATATGATTGGCAGTGGTCAATCGGGACGTGGGCAAACGGGACACTCCCATTTTCGAACAGTTGCAAAATATTCATTAGACCCATCTAAAGTCAAAGAGACAACTTCAACACCGATCTCATGCAACTGAACTAATGTATTTTCAATTAATGCGGATGTTTTTGATGCAATTCCATTGATGAGAAAATAAGCAATGGGCAATTTCCAATTATCTATCAAGACTAACTACCATGAAAACTAAAGCATTTTTAGCTTCTTTTCAATTGTCATTTAGCACAAATTCTGGTCCATAATCAATGTGATCATAAACCTTTCCATCTCTATCACGTAGTGTTCCTTTTTTAATTTCAATCTCATCTATCATTAATGATCAGAGTACCTTCGGTTTTTTCGTTTTGACTTCCTCAACTTTTCGTGATAAAGCTTCAAAACTTTCCGTAGTACCTCCTGCTTCACCATCAATGGAATTGTACCATGAACGTAATGTACTTGGTGCAGGCAAAGCTGAATTCATTTTATAACGCACATAATTATAGGCTTTTGGAGAATAATAAAAAAATGTTAACGCAAAACTACGAAGGGCCAGTGGATATTGCATTCTTGAAATAAAATTAGACTTACTATTATGACTTACTTTCATGACACATTACAAAAATTTTTGAATACCTGAATCGTCTATAGATTCCAGAGAACGTAAACAAGCTTCAGAAACTTGAACCTTGACAGATCTACGAAGCTCATTGATCACGTCTCGGAAATATGATGCTTTTTTCTGCAGCTGATTAAATTTCCTTTTCTGTATCTTGATGATCTTTTCCTTTTCTTTCAACTTTTGTTCACATTCAAATAGTCTACGACGCAATATTGTGGAAAGACTTTCATATTGATGATCATGATCTACAATCTGCTGAGATTTGCACACTGGAGATGCTATTGAGTCGAATTGTATGGACGTTGATACCATTTCCACATCATCTGCGAAATTGTTAACAATTTGTTATGAATTTTCTCATTTCATATATTTTGTTATATATTTTTCATATATTAATTTGTTCATCATTCATCCTTAAATCCTTACCAGAATTGTCAAGTGTCTTCATAATTATGTTGCTAACATCATGACAGCTTTCTTTTCTTGCCTCGTTAACAAGAATTGGATTGGTCAACACATTGTGCGATGAATGTGAATTCATAATGTTGCTTGTTGAAGGTGGACTATTTTCCTTAGAAGCAAGTAATTCAGTCGAATCAAGAACTGGAAATGATACTTTTTTGTTATTACAATCATTTCTTTCTTCATATTATGGTAAAAATTAGATAGAAATTATAATAAAAATTATTGATATTTAATTTATCTGAAGTTCTATCAAGTGAATTACTATTAGGAGAATTTAATATTGTTGGAATACTGTTTTCCTTCAATGCCCAATATTTCCCTTGTACTTTTCTCAAATAAGATGCTTCAAAATGACTTGAACACAAACGACTACTTTCAGTAGGCTTCCAATTTAACATATTTATATTTTTCAACCATTTGTTGAGGAGTTCTTGTTTCTCCAAAGGAAACCTATTATAAAAAAAATATAGATATAAAATATAAAGATAATGAATAAGATATAAAGCTTTAGGACTAATGTCGAATAATACAACGTTAAAAAATATACCTGAAGAATGAATAAGGAGATTGATATGAACGTTCGCGCTTGCATATTGTACAGACTGCCGGGGAATCTCCAAAATAAGTTGGAACACTATTAAGCTTCAAGCGTACTCTAAATTCAGATCTATCAAAACAGTCTTCAGTAAAATGATCTGAACACAATAAACTTTCATAGGTAGGTTTCCAATGTTTCAATGGTATATTGTTGACCCATTGTTCCAATAAGAATTTATCTGATAAAGGAAACCTGTAAAAGATGGGTCGCACAGAATAGAACAAAATGTTAAATATTCGAATAACTAGTTTTCTTTAGCTATCTATTCTATGAAATATGAAAATAATTGACTTAATTTATTGATTAACTCGAAAACACAACCTGTCACATTTCGTAAATATTGTGTATAATGTATAGATTATTCAATTTACTTACTTATGATATGTTCGTCTATCATTTTTTTTGTGAATGCTTCCACAAAAACAACACCTCACCATGGCAAATTATTTATAAACCTGATTTTAAACTTTTACGCATTTTAATCTGCAGTGCCACGGTGGACAGCACTATACGCATGCGCGAACCTCGGGCATGTAAAATGGTGGACCTTCAATTGGTATGTATGTATGTACACTGCGCGACAACGATTCGTTCCGTGGAGAGCGTAGCCTGTAACCAATCAGCCATTGCCACGCTGCCAGCTGATTGGTCACTTCTACGCTCCCCTTGCCCCGCGAGAGAGGGGCCAGGGAACGAATCGTTGTCGCGCAGTGTACATACCTCGCTCGGAGAGACACTTCCGATTAGACCACAGACTTCTATAATACACTAGACTGCTAGGCTCGTTATATATTCCCCACCTAGCGTGTACCCCGAAATAGAGAACCTCTAGGAGAGAGAATGGACAACTGATCAAGCTTTTTCATGATTGGCTGGCAGAAAATGTATCAATTTTAGCTATTGCGACGCCAATGCAAAATATGATGACACACAAATAGGACACACATGACACACATATATTAACCTATTTGTGTGTTATCATATTTTGCATTGGCGTCGCAATAGCTAAAATTGATACATTTTCTGCCAGCCAATCATGAAAAAACTTGATCACATGTCACATGATCAGTTGTCCATTCTCTCTCCTAGAGGTTCTCTACCCCGAAAGTATGTACACATAGGCACCCAAAGGCGGCAGACTGAGTTACCGATTGGAATGCGACTAATATTTTATAGTCCTACGACTATGGATTATTGAGTGAGATATGTGATATATATACTATATATCGTCGTTGTTCCGTTTATGTATATATAAATTAAACGAGCAAAATAAATTAAGGTGCATACATAGGTATATATGGATATATATATATATATATATATATATATATATATATATCCATAATAATGACAATAAGATGCGTGGTGCAAGGATGCACAAATATATATAAGAAATGTGGTATACATTTTTTAATATATTGTTTTAATATTATATTAATTCGAACTTGAAAATTTTATATTAATTATTATAACATTTTTATGTCCCTAACAGCACATGATATCATTCGAATATTCTATACTTATACTGTAAATATACATTACAGATATAATATATTGAGAATAATCCCATAACATCTCTTGTTGTATATTATTTTTCATATATTCTCAGAATATACTTTGAATATCTCGCGTATTAGTATATTCTTTCTCATATATTTTCCGGATATTCTATAATATTGCATGTGTTTCCTCATTTTGCCGCTACGCGCGCTACCAAACTCGTAGTTTAATTTTGGTGAAATGGACATAAAGGACTGGTATTTAACATGAGTTCTAAAGTTTCTTCTTTTTTCTTTTTAGTCAGTTTAATTTATAATAAGCTGACTTAATTTAAAATTTGTTTAGTAATTTAGTTGTTCTGGATTCTTGATTGGGATTCAGAATATTAAAAAGATTATTTGAAATTAAAATGAGAAATAGTGTGTGCGTTTACGGCATTTATCAAAAGTATTTATATTACATATATGAATTATACTGCAAGATATTCTCAGTATTTACTATTAACCAAAATAGGCGGACATTAGAGCATTCTTAGTATATACTTAATATATCATAGTATGTATCTCGAATGTTCTGAGAATATATGCATTGTACTTTTGCGATATTCTTCGAACATTCTCAGTATCTACATGTGTTAAACCCCCTGTTAGGGGTTTAGCGTCAAGCGTTGAGCGTCAAAAACACGTGCGCACCCTTGCGCATAATTCTAAACAGGCAGATTCCAGCATCTTGACGCTAATACAATGTTTAGTAATAAAAATTTAATAGATACCGTAGAGATAAGTAGATTGTATATTCTTCATAGAAAATGTATTAATATATATAATATATAATAGATATTATTATACAAAATATATATTATAGAATTGCGCGATTAGCAACGTAGTACAACATAACCAAATAATTGGTATAAATATATGTCTTCTAAACATATATTATTACAACATGAATATTATTTATTACAATGTATTCTTTGTATAAGATATAACGTGTGCACGTTGAAAATCAATAAAAACAATATTTTTAATCACGAATGCATGAAACATTGGCATAGGCACACTGCGCTTGTCACCCTTTTTGACGCTTTAACGCTCGATGCTCAGACGCTCCTATGTAAAGGCACCTTTATATAGGACCTTTATATTTGTATATAGATCAGTGGACCCTCTAGACTGGCCATCAGGGGGCCACTTTTGATTGGTGCCATTTTTATGCAACTCCTGCTCATATTCAAATTTTAATTACTTCATTTTGAATATAAATGATATTTAATAATAAATATTATAAATTATAATAATGAACATTATATATATATAGGTAAAATAAGAAATATTATATAAATTATAATAAGAAATTTTATTTAAATGTTAATAATATTAATATTATAAAAAAAAGATAAATGAAAAGATATGATTAAAGATGATTGATTTGTAGGTATCCAATTTTTACGATTAACGTTTTTTATTCATTCAGCACGATGTTTGGCATCTCTAGGAAATACTCGCATCATATATATCCTTTCGCAGACGAATTATTGCAGAATTCTGTTGCATTCACCCATTTTACTGTTACTTTTTAATTGCGCAAGATACAGACACATTTATAAACACATATATTTGCACATTCGTGTAAGTAAAATCTAGAGTCTCTGCATAGATCTAGAGTTTCAGCCTATATCTCTCGCAGGATTTTGCATAAACATGGGGTACTTTCCGATTCACGCATGATGTGCATGAAGTGACAGAAAATGTATAATATGCGTGACATGAATTATACATTTTTTGTCACTTCATGCGCATCATGCATGAATCGGAAAGTATCTATGGACGACACATATTCTCCATATACGCGCACTCCCGGTAAAAAATTTTTCATGTATATTCATGCAGAATTGAATATAATTGTACAAAAGTATATATACCCAGATAGCACATGGAACTCCTATGGACATCCAATGGACATTCGAGTTTGGACATGTGGACGTCCATAAGATGTCTGAATTAAGTCCGACGGATATCCATTAGACATCCATAAGACGTCGGTTATTCACTACTTCGGATGTCCAAAAAACAATCCAAAAAAGGACTTAAAATGGACATCATTTTCAGTGTCTTACTCTTTCAAATTATTATTGGAATAAATATCAAAAATTCATAAACTCAGAAAAAAATTTATATTTAATTATGTATAATTGTGTAGATATAATTATGTATGGATTTTGACCTAATTTAATCATATATAAAAAATTGTTCTTTATTATACATAAGTAAATAGCATTATGCATCCTTCATAACATTTAAAACATAAAAAATTCTTTGGCCCAACAAAATTAAATAATATAATAAAATAGTATAATTTATCTATTTCATATAAAACTTTACATAAAATTCATGTAAAAATTTTATTTATATTTATACTTGCTTATTGCACTCTACATTTTAAATAGGTAATTTAAAATGTAAAGTGCAACAAGCAAGTTTAAATAGGTACCGGATTATTTTCGTTTATTTGCCGGACATTTACTTGTACGACTTATAAAATCAATTTAATATCTGAAACTCTTGTATTGAGATCACAAATTAAATGGAACAGTATATTTTTAATCTTATTTGTTACTCTTTGCAAACTTTATATAATTCTTATAACTAAAACTTAAATATGAGAAAGATAGCGCATCGCACGTCGCATAGCGGTAAACGAACGAACTAACACATCCTTGCGTGCTCGCGCGAAACTTTGATGTCCAAGATCGGACATTTTGTGGACGTCCAAATATTGGCCGTTAACGGATGTCCCGAATCGGATGTACGATGAACAGTCATTTCATGTCCATGGACGTACGGACGTAAAATGGACATAAAATGAATGTCCATAAAATGTCCTGTGCTGTCTGGGTAATTGTGCAAAAATATGTATAATTATAAATAATAGAGTACAGGACATTATATATATTTATATATAAGTGCAATAACTCTTACATATAATTAAATATAAGTGCGCATTTTGCATACTTATATATAATGTTCACAATGTTTTATGTATAATTATACATGGATTTCTGTTAGTTTAATATATAATTATATGTAAGTCTTGCGTCATATAAATATGTATAAGTAACAAATATAGTTCAGATACAATCATACATAATTGTATACAATTCTATATAAACGAGAAATTTTGATCAAAATGTATATACATCTTTCCCTCAATGCACTCATGAACAACGGAGGGTGAAACATTTTGTGCTTAATGACCCGGGAAAAAAAGTCCATGTCTATTTATATAAAAAAAACATACAGTCTTATATGATTATATATATCACATATGATTTTATCAGAGCATACGTTTTTTGTATATGTTTACATATGATGTCCATCTCTGACCATTTCTGATAATAAAAAATGATATTAGATACCTCACGTCATTTTGTACAAGTCAGACATAGTCAGATATCATATCTAAGCATGTATAAAATCAAAGCAAAGGTTAGTTTTATGTATGCTTTGATATAAATCATATATGATATTATATATAATCATTTAAGATTATATATGATTTTACTTTTTTTTATATAGACAAATATAATTTTTCCTAAAAATTATATCTTGCATTATATATTTAATGAATTATTATGCAGTATTTAAAAACAACAGTTAAATGTATATTATTATAGAAGCAGTTAAGTGATATATCGAAAAAATTGTAAATTCTTAATGAATAAGAATATATTCTTAATTGGCGACTTCTACGCCGCTACTCGATTTCCGTGTGCGACATGTCTCTTCATTTGCCGCTACGCGGCGACACCACTCTTAATTTTTTTAGTATTCAATATTTATCATGAAATGTATATAAAGGACTAGTATTAATGTAAGATCTAAAGTATATTTTTTCCCTTAGCAGTGGTGCGAAAGAGAGGACGCTGCTCACATATAGGTTCTCTATGAGCATGTGAGCTGCATCCTCTTTGACATCACTGTTTATCAGTTTATTCCAAGCTGGATTTCTTGTTGGGATTCAGAATATTTATTTATATATGATTTCATAATATACATGATTTCATAATATATATGATTTCATATGATTTAATATTTATTCATATATGATATCATATATGACTATATTTGGCAAAACATAATTAAATGATATTGACAAAATCCATATATGGCCAATTTTGGGACTTTTTCTTCTCGGGATTATAAAAATATATCTTTATATAATAATATACAAATATATATATTCATATCCATTTATACATAAGCATATCTATTTTTTATATGGACAAAATTGATATATAAGTTTGTATAACTAGATATAATCAATTTTGTCTAATTATATATGAAAAATTTTTTACCGGGCTCTATCTGATGGCCAGTCTCTGATTTCCTAGCGAAAATAAATATTCGGAGCATAAGTCGAAGGAAGTGTAAGGAAAGAGTAACAGAAGCATAAACGAAACTCCTAAGAAGCGTAAATTGAAACGCCGAAGCGTAAACGAAGCTTTTAACGCTTCGTTTATGCTTCTGTTACTCCTTCCTTACATTCGACTTATGCTCCGAATATTCATTTTCGCTAGAGAGAGAGTAGACAGCCTGTCTATTTATTGTCTTTCTTCATATTTTTTAATAATTTGAAGAACTTCTATTAGACATTGCGTTTTATTTGTAGAAGGAATGTACTTCAATCCTTCTTCGATGGCTAACATGTAACCATCTTTACATTTTTTATTATATATTTGAGATGATACTGTTTTCATTTGCGCAGATCTTTCTTTACTTGCGTCTGCCAAGTTACGATCAATTTGATCGTGTTTCAATGTCTGTGGATTTTTGAAGTTTACTGGATTGGAATTCTTACTTGGCTCCAAAAATATGGTGCTGTTAGTACTACTACAGTTAGAAAGTGTACTAGCAGGTCTATTTAAGATCTCGCTATTACTTGACATAACTGTTTCTTCAATATTTAATGATAATTCGTTATCTGAAAATAATTTACAATACTTATTAAACACAATATTGATATTAAAATTATGCTTCTTTTATTTAATATATACCTTTGTCTATTAATTGAATAGGTTCATTATAGCTGTGATCATATAACGGTTGAGAATTAATAAAATTAGAAGATTGCTTGAATTTTTTTAACGGCTTAACATTTGTTGTATTTGTTTCGAATAACGTGTGTGGACTTTGTGAGTGCAATGATTGGTTCTGTTGAGCAAATGATGTTTTTGTTCTGCAAAGAAAATTAAATTAAATTAACAATAAGAACTAAAATTATGAAAAAATATTAACAAATATAAATGTACATATTAATTGTAATATATTTGTAACATACTATGCCATCGGAGGATACGAAGGGAATTTAACTTTAGTTAGTTAATTTTGGCATTTTATAATATTGATGAGTGACTATATATGCTCTATGCAAGAGAATGCAATATAATTATCATAAGAAAGACTCGTTAAAATTTAAAATTAATAAACACAGAGTTAGGCAAATACGAGTCAGAAATAACCGATATAACGCAATATAATTATTATATAATATATGTTATATTATAAATGTTACATCTATAAATGGTAACTTATAACTAACATGTACATTCCATATACATATATTAGTTACAAATAGTCTAACACGTATATATTTGTTTATTGGATAAATACAATAAAATAAAATAAATACAATAAAAGATAGTACAACTAGATATTTACCTTCTGTGAATTATGTGAGGAATTAAAAATAACATATTTCTATATAACTGCCATTCTTTTGTAGATTTATATCCAGAATCAGATAGCGGTGATTTTTGTCGCCTATTTTCTCTGCTAAACATATCTCTTAAAGACGACCACCGTTTTTCAATTGCTCTAGCTACATAAAATAATTTTATATTATAAAGCGTTTTTCTAATTATAATATAATAATTTAATTATAATATAATAATTTAAAAAATAAAAAATTTACCTGACATATTTACATCATACAAGGTTTTCAACATTTCAGAAATTTTTTTCCATAGTTCTTTTTTTTTGTTAATATTTTTGAAATCCACATCACGCTTATCATATAAGCAATGATTTTTACACACAAAATCAATAATTATTTCATCTACATTTAATGACTCTATAATAAAATAAAGGTTATATTATTATACTTACAATTACAGACTCTCTAATCAGAGTCTGGACATAAATACATTAGGCTATATTGTCCGATATTTTTCTTCCAAATCCTGAGAGAGAGAGAGAGAAATATGTGCTTCTTCACTCTCTCTTAGTTAATGTCTCATAACTTCTTATTTATACTGCGCATATGAGTATAAAGTAATAAATAATGGTTGGATGTGCGGAAGAATTTTGTAATAATTCCTCGTTAAAGGGATATATTATGAAAATATATCCAAAAGATGAACAATTTAATTTTCTAGACTTGTGAGACTTAGACGTTATAAGGAAAATACTTTATACTTTATTAATAAACCAACCAATACTTGAAATATTCTTAAAATTAGAAAATATATATAAACATTATAGTCCCTATTTTAAGATCATGTATAGAGTAAATTTAAATGAATTTTTACTTGATAAATTTTTAATTCTGTTCCAGTAGATCATATTCTTAATTGTCATAATTTGCGTCAAAAATTATTTAAAAAATTTGCTAGCTTAAGATTAAAATTTAAAAACAAAGAAACTGTATTAATTAATCATAAATATTACGATAGCAAATCGATGATGATGCACCATAGTTTAAAATAAAATAATGTATTACTTTACATGTATAAAATAAATAATTAATATATATAATAAATATGTTTTATGATGTGTATATGTATATATAATATATATGTTATTTATATCCTTTTTCTTATTTTCTTATTTTTTTAACTATTAATTGATTACTTCAATTTAATTACTATCAAAGTTTATATTTTCAACTGATTCACTCACTCTCTCACTCATTCACTCACTCACTCACTCACTCACTCACTCACTCTCTCTCTCTCTCTCTCTCTCGTAATGTTTAAAAACATTTTTTTTATTCTGTTATTCAGATTGTTCTTTTTTATTCTATTCTAAAAAAGGCATGTTAAGTCGATTCTCGAATGTATCGGTTTATCTTGAAAATCTCGAAATGTATTGTTGCCTCTTTTTCGTCGCTCTGATTGGTTTTTATGATGTTGCATATTTCGTGTTATTTGAGTGTTATTTGTCATTTGACATCACGAAGGTTATATTGACAGTGCAATACAAAGAATTGGTAAATTAATAAGAGAAAATAATTTCGAAAGGGTTAATTGTGTTCATAAAGTAAGTATATATGTCATTAAAAATATATAATGCAACAGAATAAATGGCGCACGCGAAGCGCACGCTTTGTTTTGTTCTAGTATATTTAAAACTCAATCAAATTTTTTTCCATACCTTTTTATATGTAAGAGATTATTCTAAACAAACTGCAAAATTAACAATATTAAAACAAATTAAATAATAAGAAAAATTAAAATTTCCATGTATTTTTTTAAATATTTAACAATTTATTATATTTTAGCAATAGAAACTTCATAAAACTGGCGCGAATTGAAGAAAAATGGCGGACCAATCAGAGCTTGCTATCTTATGTCCAGACTCTGATTAGAGAGTCTCTAATTATTCGGAGAGAGTCGTAAGACGTCGGAAGTCGGAAAAGATGGGAGTTGACCATCTTGCATTCCGACACCAACACGCGGCTTGCGACAACTCGATACGCAGGTCTTAGCTTACCGGGCCTATAACGATAAGGCTTCTTCACGCCATTGATAGCTCGAGCGCTCTTCCTCGTTGCTTTAGTAGGGAGCTGTTTGCGAGGAGCTTTTCCTCCTGTCGATTTGCGAGCGATCTGCTTCGTACCTGCCATTGCAATCAACGTAAAACCACTATATATATAGTAGCGCAACTCTCCCGATTTCGTGTTGGCCAAAATGGAGTGCGCATGCGCGAAATAAAGGAGTTGAATAGTAAAGACCCTGAAGGCTATAGCACACAATTTCCATAAGACATAACAGTAAAGTTTCGGCCAATTGCGTTGCTCAATTTAGCCGCCCGTAACCAAATTGAGCAACGCGATTGTCGCGTAAGTCGAAATCTTACTGTTATGTCTTATGGAAAGTGTGTGCTATAGCCTTGACACACGAAAAAACATAAGCAGTGAAACGTAGTCAGTAAGTAAATTGACCAATCACGATTGAACAGTAAGGCAGCTATATTAAAACGTAAGAAAACGTAAGGCTGATGGCAGAGAAATAGATGTCTGTTATAGTCGTGGACGTAAAGTAAGGTAGAGAAAAACGTATGTCGTACAAGGCCATTGTGACAATGGCCTTGTACAACATACGTTTTTCTTTGTCTTACTTTACGTCCACGACTACGACAGACGTAAACACTCACGTTTAGTTCTCTGCTATCAGCCTAAGAATTCGGATTGGTCGATTTCCTTACGGACTACATTTCACTGCTTATGTTTTTTCGTGTGCCAAGGCCGTAACGCCATCTAAGGCTGATGGCAGAGAACTAGATGTCTGTCGTAGTCATGGACGTAAAGTAAGACAGAGAAAAACGTAAGTCGTACAAGGCCATTGTCACAATGGTTTACGTCCACGACTACGACAGACATCTAGTTCTCTGCCATCAGCCTAAACCTTTCTCGTTTACTCTTTTGTTTTTCGTTCTCTCTCACACATTTAAATATTCAGTTTAAATGCCTAAGTATATCGCGTAATAAATAACTTTTACATGTATGTGATAATTTATAGATGTAAGTTTATTATAATATTGTAAGTTCTTTGTTATTATATATATATATATATATATATATATATATATATATATATATATATATAGTGATGCCGTCCCGACGCGCGTCCATCCGCCCCGGGAATTTTGACGGGGCGCAAGCCGAGCAGCCACGCCAGAGAAAGATTGCGAGAGCCGTATCGAAATTCCTGGAGAGACGAGCCATTAATATATTTCACGTCGTTATTAATTATTTTTTTGTATTATCCTGTATGTCGAGCAACCCGCCGGAGAACATTCTGAGAAAGAAGAAGAAGAAGAGGAATTTTTACGACAGCTTGTGGCGGTGATGATGCCCCGGTTAATCTGGTTGTTGGCGCCTCGCTATTCCATCTGCCTAACTGCAGCGGAGCTGGTCGCGTTCTCTTCCTTGCGGTAATCTCCTCTGTGAGAGGAGGTACGTCTTCTATCGCTGCCATGGTGTCGCTGGAGTTACTGCTCTCTTCTTGAATACTTTCTTCGGCTGCTTTTCTTCTCGAAGGATGGGAGCGAGAGATGTGTTTTAGCTCCGCGGGGGTCCTCCTTATATTTCCTAAATGCCGTTTTTGATTTACGGGAAAAGCAAAGTTGGCGTGCGACGCCTAGCGGAGGTGCCCGGTACTTGGCGCGCAGCTTATAACTAGCCGCCGCGTGCTTGCGCTCTTGCGAGAAAGCAAAGTCGCCGCGCGCCGAGTCAGTGCGCTATCGCGAAACGTATTATTGCGTCTCATGTGGCATGTACCGCCACAGTATGGATTTAATCGACTCTGCTTTAGGTTATCGATACTGTACGCTTTGATTTTTTTCAAAATTATATCAATTGCATTGCTCGATTGTAAAGTTATTTCATTGTCGAAATCGTTCATCGAAACGTTCCAGCAAATTGGGATCATTATTTTCAGGATTTTTTGACGTATCGTTAGGAAGATTATAAGATTTTAAACGGTTCATAATTAAACGGCTCTATTATGAGCGGCAAAACAATGGCTTTCTTTATCATTAATGTCTTCATAAGTCGAAAAAGTTATTGATAGGATGTCCGTATTTAAATAAACTCATCAATCTCTGTGTACGTACTCAAAACACCGACACAGCACAGATAAAAGGCTTTTTTCTCAAGAGATTCGTGATTAAAACAACTCCAACGTGTAACTAATTTGATTAGATGTGCGATATCAATACGGATAAGATACCTAGGGCATTGAATACGCATGGATGATGTGCTATTATCAAAAATAATACAATTCTCGATGTATGTTTTAAGATCACTGTTGTTGAATGCTAAAGAAGTCGCATTTAGAAGTGCCAGTGAGTAATCTACGACCACTTGTTTCGGAACCGAGCCCCCAGAACGCAACCATTCTCGCATTCAGTATGTATTGGTATCATGTTTTTCAGAAATTAATTGAAATAAAGGTAATCTTTTTATGATAACTACAAACAGCCTGATAGAGAAAAATGACTTGTTTGGAGCTATCCGGTTTTGGAATTTGTTTTACTAATCCACCCGTTGCATCAAAACTAATGCTACCGATATCGTCTTCTTTCTGAAATTTTTTATATAAAAAAAGCTGCGTAGGACTCCAATACATCACATAAAATTTATCAAGGCCGATCTCATAAATACATCCGCTGAACTCTTGACTGTACTTCATATACCATACTGAGGCAAGAGCCGCTTTAACTTTAAATAACCCTAATTCTTTATCTCGAGCTTCCTGTTTTGCTTTACGTGCAACATATTCCGAAGGCAAGTTAGCCGGTACAACGTCTCCGAAATTCATTAATTTATTAGCTTCATTACGACATGCGTAAGTAGATGTGCCTTGTAATTCCTTTCCAATACGAATCCGTCTGTCACATACTTGCCGCTTTTTTTCATGCGCTATTCCGCGAGAATCGAAAGTAGAAATGTTTACGATCGGACTCTCCTTAGTCGGTTCGTTTTAACAATAAATGTGAATTTTCGATTTACATTCCGAGCAACTGCCTTTAATTGATAAGAATATCTCGCCAGAATTTCGATTAATTTTTGCATTTTTCAAAGAGTAAGGGCAGAGCAATTTTAAATAACTCCATAATATATCGTACACATCAGTCCAATCAATAACGAGTATTTCATATTCGCGATTTTTGTATTTTAAAATATGCGATTTGAGAGTGTCCCATTAGTTTTTAGATATCGCTATTGTTTCACGCAGAAATAGTAATGTACAATCTGTTTCACCCATCGACCAATTTGAATCATTGCGCAAACCATCCGCGGATGTGTCGAGATTATTTTCATCTTTGATAGATTCCAACGTTTTGATTGCATGTATTCGACCGAAAACATTATTCCTATTTTTTGACAAATAGAGATAGATCCTTATGAGGTAGTCCTTTGACATTTTGCCTTGCATCAACCGCCTTTTGCCAAACATCATCACTCCATGGCAAAAGTTTGTTTTTATTATCGAGAAACCAAAACCCTTTCAAGGTCTCATAAATTTCGACGAATTCGTCGGCGTTTGAGGCATTTTTATATTATTTTCAAAGCTGACAGAATAAATGCTAAAGATATATAAGAATAAGATATAGCTGTAGAATAAATTACTCGAAACCGCTACAAAATAATAAGAAATATCAGCGCAACAGCTATTTCCTTCATATGAGCTATTAGTCGCTTCGTGCGGGCAGCCAAAGTGTAGTGGAGGCAGAGCTGCCAGATCAGCGACGTAAGCAAAGCTGCTAGATCTCCGCCGCAAGCAACATGCAATACCTTATGGAGGGGATAACGGGGATGTGAGCGTAACGTACGTATGAGCTCGTAGAAACGCCGAGATATAAGAATGCTTAACATTTTAGTATGGAAAAACATCGATATTTTTTTACAATTAGCAAATATATATTTACCAGTTATAAAAATTATCTAATATAAGGAACTCAAAGAGAAAAACGTTTAATGCTGCTTAATTTTTGAATGGTACAACTACAAACGAAACGAAAAGCACTACAAACAACTACAAACAATTCTAAAGAAGACTGTGCAAACGGATTTGAGATATCTAAATGTCGGAAGTCATTTTTTCGAATTTTTATATTTTTTTAAGAGATAAAACTACAAACGAAATTATTGTTACTACAAACAATTACAATCGAAATGCTATCGTTTTTTATATTAAAAAATTAATTTTTTAAAAGTCGGGTGCCAGGTTCACATAGCTGAGATATTTTCATCATCGTCATCATTCTGAATGCTTAATGATAGACTAGTATTTGTTCTAGAAAGAAAAACGACACTTAGCGTTTTCGAATATATTCGAAAAACTCAATAACAAAGTCAAGTCTGAAATGTTTCTCTATTTTAAATTATTAACCTTTTTCAATATTATATATTATTAAACTTACGGAGCTTTTCCCATGACGTCGTTTAAAAACTTCATCTGTTCATAAAAGCAGAAGGAATTTTTTTTACTGTTTAATGCTTCAGCAGCAGATTCACTTGGGATATAAGTATGTTCCTTTTTTTGCTTTTAAAAAGCAATCACGTAGATATCGCCACCTTTTTTTAATTTCGGTTACACTCAATGTGCCTATAAATACACATTTAAATAAAATGTCTGAACTTCAATAATATCATCATACATGGTGAAAATATAAATACTAACCTCCTAATGAGTTGCATATTTCTTGCCACAATGCATTTTTTTTTAAAGTGCTTCTTTCACTTGCTGGTATCCGATGATCGAATAATATCGAATAAGCTCGCTTCTGCGATACATGATATATTAATAATTCATCTTTGTCAATTTCTTGTAGATTATTTAATTCTTCTTGTGAATTATTAAATTCTTCTTGTGAATTATTTAATTCTTTATTTGGTAAATTAGATTCATTGAACTCTTCTATGCGAGATACTAAAATAAGAGGAACAATTATAACAGTGGCAAACGGAAATTTGTCAGTATCATTGCCAGACAGTATAATTTTTCAATAAATAACTCAATAAATAATGGCATACTTTGTCAAAAAATATGTTTCAATTACTAAAATAATACTTACTGACAGTGACTACTAAATTTTCATCCACATTTATACAATCATTGTCTTTATTAAATGGTTGAAAACAAGAGTGGTCTAATAAATTAAAATTAAAATATTGTGGGAGAATGTATCCACAA